TATATTTTAATCAACTGGCTTATATGCGTTTTATTGTTATGTAGGGGTGGGGCAAACTTTGAGTGTTTCTATTTCTGAGTTCTTGCATGCATCGCTGATCACAAGAGTGAGAATGAGAGCGAGTAGCCCTGGATGCAGAGCCCAGTTTGAGGCATGGCTCAACGTGGAGTGGACCTAAGATATTTGACTCTGCGCACACAGATTCTAAGGGTCTTCTTTTCTTTGTTAAACGATTTCCTGGTGGTTTTAATTTTGACGTATTTGTACAGGTTGTGTAGTGACAGCATACAGTAAATGCCTACTTAGTATGTTAAGTTAATTTAACACTGTAAATTGTCTCTAGGTGTGACTGTGGAAGGTTGTTTGTCTACGTGTGCCCTGCGATGGGCTGGCAACCAGTTCAGGGTTTACCCCGCCTCCTGCATGAAGATGGCTGGGATAGATTATACTTAAATAGTGTAATGCCTCTTTCACTGTTGAAAGAAGATCACTGAAAATTAATACTTGATACACTCAGCAGCACTGATTTGAAAATCAAATCAAGAAATAAAATTGCTGCACCAGTATATTAGTGGGAACAAAGCTTCTGAAAGCTAATAAAACGTCTTTATTTTCTAAAACAATTTTTTTTTGTCTCCATCCATCTTCAACACTGCTAATCCTGAACAGGGTTGCAGGAATTGCAGGAGCCCATCCCAGCTGACTTTGGGCGAAAGACGGAATAACCCCTCCGCCCTGAACTGGTCGCCAGTCAGTCACAGGGCACATATAGAGACAAACAACCATACACACCCACATTCACACCGTCACCAAGTGTGAACCTATCGCACGCTACCCGCACACAAGTCAGGTGAGTGTACCACTACACCATCAGCGACCCACGCAGGCACGGGGAGAGCATGCAAACTCTACACAGGAAGGCCGGGGCCGGAATCGAGCCCTGCACCTCTGCACTGTGAGGCCGGCGTGCTAATCAATCGAACACCGTGCCGCCCGTTCTCTAATTTGAATACAAAAAATACCTTACCTGCACTTCTGGATATTGCCTAACTGTGTCCCTCATCTCGTCCCACTCAAGCAATTATAGAGTGAATAGGCCATCAGTCAGTGCTACTGTGATGGTAATGCATGATTGCACTCATGACAGGTTATAATCAATTAATTAAATTTATTGTGTTGTCAAAACAATAAAACCAGCACATTTATTTGAGTTGTATAGAGCTAAATAACAATGTAACGCTGTGCAGATGATCGTGCTGTTTTGAGCAGACAGTGGCAAATCAAAGTCCTCTTCTCACACAAACGCAACGTGTCTGAAATGAGTTTTGGTGTGAGTCTTCTACCTCTTACTGTGATGTGCTTTTTTCATGTAACACCCTTTCACCAAATGTCAACTCGCAAATAAAGCAGAGCCCACACCCAGAGTAGACCCTGATTAAGCTACCAGTTCTCTTTAGACAGGGTGGGAGGCAAGGAGATGCTAAATGTTGGTAAATAAAGAATTATAGACCTTTAAATGGCTGCAAGCTCACGTGGTGGTAATCATTTAAAATCCTGTAAACACACAAATACACAAGGTAAAGCCACAGCCACTATCTGAATGATAATTTTCTTATTTATGGTTTGCTTTTTACACACAAACTTCAGATGCTTGGAATTTCACCATTATCACTCCATCACAATATGAAAGGAGAAAAACAAACTGAGGAAATATGCTAATAAATCATCTGCCTAACAAAAGCTCCTCATTGCTGACAAGATAAGGTCACTCATGACAAGCCTCTGGTAAGTAGACAACATTCCTTTGTTGGCTTTTGAACCTTCGTTTGGCTGCAAGGCTTTCCTAACTCCTCCAAGAGGAACATTGTTCCCATGTGGTCTTCACAGTGTCTTATGTAGCTCGTCTGCAGAGCCACACTCCTTTGATACTTGTTTTGCCATCCGAATGGGCCTGAACGACGCACACAGTATCGATGAAGTTCTCGTCAAGGAAAGCAAGAGAGAGGAAAACAAGACAACCACAATGCTCGACTTCCTCAGCACTATTCAGTGCTGCAAAATAATCAGAATTTGAGTTCAGGCAAAGCAATCAAAAATGTAAACTCTGTTTATTAAATGTTAACTCTTCCTCAAGCAGCTTCCCAGGGGCTTTAAAGCTACAGGGAAAGAGAGGTAGGTGCCTTGCTCAAAGGCAACTCATATGTTGGGGGGATGGATTGAACCCGTATTAGTTTGATCAGTCACAGGCCATATTCTTTATCACTCATTCACAGCTACCCTTTATAAATGTACAATTAGCTACACATTTCACTGCACTAATCCCTGCTTTGTGCTTTAATTCCGCCACTTTGGGAACAATGCCCCAATTATATCTACTCGACATGTTCTCATTGAAAAGCCAGGCACTGGGTTCAACCCCACAGGTGTCCAGAGCGCAAGGCTCGGAAACATCAAAAGACATCGTTTGTTATGGTTCACTTGCTTTGCTTTGCCCATTCCATTTATTATTCCGGTTGTCTTTTTCAGTTCTTACTGAAACTTTTCCAAAATATGTCTTGTCTTATTTGTAATTACTGTCAAAGCCCTGTTTCTATCCAATGTCACCAAATGGAAATGGGGATGCAGTACAACTGTAAAAGTAATGTCGCTTACCGCAGGTTTCAGGGACATGTACCAGTTTTCTATGTAAATTTTTACGGAATCCAAGTTGAAGTCCAGTTCTTGTCCATGCTATGCACATTGAATCACCACCATCAGACGACATGTGCACACTTTTAGGACGTTACCCTCCCCCTGCACATTCACTTAATGTTATGTTCCTGAAAGCTTGCAAAGAAGTAATCAATGAGTCATGTGTCCTGATAACAACCAACTCCCTATGGGGCATCTTCAAAGGGCTCCCGAGGAGATGGAGAGAGAGAAACATTGCTCTCCATGGGGTAATTACAAGTTGGAGCTCAATGGTTTCTTCTCCTTTTGAGCAGAGAGCTTAAAGACAGTCCTGTAAACAATTCAACAAGTCCTGTTAGTGCAGCGGGAGGTTGCTTCAACCACCGTTCTCCAGCTGGTGATGCGTGTAGACCACAGTCATGTACACAAATGCAGTTATGCACATGTACAGTACTGTACCCTACTGTATTGAGGTGCAATTGTTACTAGATGAGAATAATATAAAATAGCTGAAAAGGCAGGAGACACAAGTTGAAACAATTTCATGCAGTGCAGCTGGGTACACGACTGTCTGTACCGTGACAACCACCCAAGTGTTTGGGTGCTTCTCAGTTAAAAGGGTAATAAACTAGACAAACACACAACAAACGACACTGTCTGGCAGTCTTAGTCTGAAAGCACTTTGTTTGTCGAACCTGCCTGCATCAAGTGCTCATCCAATAATACAACTAATTTATTTAGGATATAAGAAACCTTAAATCACATGCTCATTCAATAGTAAAAGTTTCACATTGGTCAACTTTGAGACAAAAAAAATGACACCGCAACAGCTGCACGGAGGAATCCAGTGTTGCACATCTGATGTGTATTTAGGTGAAACATTATCACAATATCCATGAAAGCTAAAGAATCAGCACTTGAAAGACTGTGACTAAATTGAGACTGCATGGCTGAGGACAGGTTAGGCCTTAGGGTTATGACTCCTGTAGCCATGCCAGGCCCAGCACAATCGTAGGAGAAAATGAAGACAAACCAATCATTAACTCAATTTAAATGAGAAAGTGTAATAATGCAATGTGTGTGCACTCAATGGCTGGGTTAGGCCTTAGGGTTATGACTCCTGTAGCCATGCCAGGCCCAGCACAATCGTAGGAGAAAATGAAGACAAACCAATCATTAACTCAATTTAAATGAGAAAGTGTAATAATGCAATGTGTGTGCACTCAATGGCTGTCAATAATTCCTCATTGGTGTGTGTGTGTGTGTGTGTCTTTTTTTAATCATGTTATGCAAGAAAATTATTTTGGAGACATTAGATTTTTTCAAGTTTTAATTTTGTTTTTCATGATCTTTAGAAGTCTACATAACTTTTGTACCTTTCAATTAATTAATGAGAAACTGATTTAAACATACATTATGAGTAGAAATAAGATCACTAACTTGCTGTTTTAGAAACAAATTTTAGTATGCTGCAGTGGCATTACGCAATACACTACATCCACAACAGTTCATTGTTTGAGTTATAGATTTTGTGTATTAAACTGAGCATCGTTGACCAGTAAAGACATCATGATGACGCTGAAGCTCTCGACCTTCCTGGTTTTGTGGTTTACCTAATTAAGTGATACTGTACATAATAATAAAGTGTACAATGGGTACCAAACTATAACCCTCTTACAAGCGTTAGGAAATGATCAGCTACTACCCCCATGTGGCTATGAACAGACCGCGCAATTCAGAAAGGGTGCTCGTTGAATTGAGGCGGTAGGTTCAATATAAAACCGCTGTCCACGCTGAAAATTTAAGAACCACCACCCACCGAGTGTTGTAAAATTCATTCAAATCAACCTAATTTAATTACTGGCTACGAAACTATTAAGATGGTTTGAAAAAGTCGACCTTTGGAAAAGTTGAATTTTGTAAAAGGTTTAGGTGTTGCCATATCATGAAACAACTTGCCCACATCGTGAACTGAGCCTTCTGTCTGCTTTGGAAAAGTTGAATTTTGTAAAAGGTTTAGGTGAACTGAGCCTTCTGTCTTTCGTCTTTAAAATTCGTTTTAAAAAGCATTTTTGGTCTTTGGTTTTGGACTCAGAATGAGATTCTCTATTGTTTTATTGTTTTGCGGTGTTTTGCTGTTTTCTTTCATTAATTTGTTGGTTTTTTTTATGCATGACAAAATGTTGCCAGTATGACAAAATTTGGCTATGGCCATGTACAGCACTTTGTAGGCAGCGGTGATCGTTTGTAAGTGTTCTATAAAGTTTAGTTGAGTTGAAATGTGGTCATTGAATGCACCATCACGCCCTACTTTTTTCCCCAACATCCGGGAACTTGTAAGCTAACCAGTGTGGAGAGTGGTAAGGAGGGCAGCGGTGGACAGGCGAACTGATGACAGCTGTCAGTGGGGACAAAAACACGAGCAAATTCTGAAGACAGGACCAATGTCGGACCCTTAAACCACCACGGGTTATTTATAAACGCCCAGAAGGTAACTTGGACTTTTTTTGAGTGGGAAATCGTAGTGGAAGAGCACGACCAGTTTCCACTACCTCTTGAGAGAATCGAGGGCTAGCTTCAGTGTTAACAAGCTAACACCAGCTGAATCAGTCTTCTCGACTTCCACTAGTTGTGTTGTTTTAAGAGCGATATTAAAACATGGACATGTTTGTACAAAAGTCACGTTTTTGTTTCGGGTCATTGCAATTTGTGTTAAAACAAGTTGGGTAAATACTGGCTATTGGAGGACAAATGCTAGCTAGCTAAACGCTGACAAGCGTAACATTTTACTTCGCGTTCGCGAGATAACTTAATTCTGCCGGACTTTTACACATGATTTGGAAAATGTTACGTTTCTTAAACGATAGAGTTACAAGACTGTATTGTATTTTGTATTTTATACGGGGTGGAAAACTTGTGGAGTTCAATGACGTTAGCTCGCTGAATTGGTTCACGCTTGCATTGATTGTGAGCGTCAACTACAACAATGCATTTATTCGTGACAGTTTATTTGTATCCCGTTAAGATGTTGCATCAACAATTTGTATTCGGTAAATAAATAAAATGCGGTCTGACGTGAATGGATTCAAGTTGCCAATGTCCTTATGGTGGTTTTCATTCTTTTGTCTGTACCAGCCAGTCAAGGTGTTGTTAACTGTTTTATAGTGTGAATTCGTCACACGTCACTGTGTTGATGGTGAGGAATATCCTATGGACCACTCAGCAACACTATGAACCAGTTAAAATCAGACCACTACAGTCGGTTACTGTGATTATCAGTCTTTTTTTACAGTTGCATGTTGAAATTGTATGCTTGTCACATTTCAAGATGGTTCATGTCACGCACAACTGTTATCCAAAGCCCTCGTTGCAGACATGAGTGATGTTGTTTTTGCTTGAATAGTAGTTGGAGATAACGGAGTGTTTGTTTGTGATGGTCTATAATGCGTACAGTGATATGGAGAGTTTAAAAATATGCACCAGTATCAGGACGTGCAGTTGTGATGTATTTGCTGACCAGATTAAGACCTGCCCTCTATTTTCATGCTAGGTTTTTACAACAATCAAATTCACGCCAGTCACCGAAGGAGCTGCTACAGTTAGTGGGACAACATGGGCACACAAGGCACTGGTCGGAAGCGTGCCCAACTAAAAGATCGCTTCTCTGCAGAGGATGAGGCCTTGAGCAGTATTGCACGAGAGGTAAGTATATTCAGAGATTAAAATACATGCTTCAGTGTTTAAATAATAGAATATAGTTTGTTTTTTAGTGCTTGCATTTCCGTTTACAATCTCCTTTGCATTCATTGGTGGTTCATAGATCAGTTATTACTTAATGTAGAATGGAGGAAATATTTGAAGTTGTTATCAGTACTGTACTTTATCGAAAGGTGTGGACATTGATCTATGACTGAAAGGGTAGTCAGTTGCATATTAAAAACAAAAATCTCATTCATATAATGAACATTTTGATTTATATCAATATTAAAATAATGACGTATAATAGCTCACATTTACATGATACTTGTCCATCAAACAGTCTTTTATAAATGACTCTACAGAATTGCTGTAATACTTTTGTTTATGACTAAATCAGCATGTAAATATGCATGGTCCTGACATTAACAACATATAATGTATGTATCCTGTTCAAGCATGCTTTTGGATGTTGTCAGTTGACAACAGTAGCAAGTAGTTTCTAGAGAGATGGTCTCCTTCCTCACTACGATCAGGTGTATTATATGCAATACAACATATACAAAATTCGAATGATCATATATACCAAGATGAATGCATTTTAAAGTTCTTCAAATAAAGTTGCATCAAATATTAGAGGCGTAATTGTCATCTATATGTCAACTCCCGCTAATATGTGGATATTCAGGTTGTGCTGCGGGCAGCTGGTTTGGCTGTACCATGTTTTTGTCAGAGGGAAGCTGCTTGACTTGTAACAACTTGTCTTGGGTATTACTTCACTTTGTTCCACTGCAGGGCTGCCATTCTTTGATTTTTTTCAGAATGCTGTTGCTACTGTACTAACATAGAAGGACAACATAATGGAAAGAAAATTCTTTTCCTGTGGCTGGTTGGCTAAATGGTTAATTCTTTGCTTGTTATTTGTCAATTGGTTTATAACTTTACACATCTGTTTTTTTAATGGCTTGTTTTAAGAATGACTCCTGTCTAAAAGCTAAGCAGGCCCTCATTCTTGGGCAGTAAGCACAAGGCTCTATTTGCTTTATTTACAGTCATGGAGGCCCGTCATAGAAACATGAGTCATCCGACCCACCCGACCAGCTTCTAAATTTGAATCTCTTTGCAACAAAACTGTGATTAGATTGTCTATGCCGGGAGTTCAGGGGGTCAGTGTTGAAGATTGGTCTTACAAAACAGCATCTGCCTTGTGTTTTGGAATTGTCACCACTTGGCATGTATCATTCTAATAATTTTGGCTGTTATTTTATTTTTATTAATCATTGGAGTAATTATTACTGTTGTTGTTGTTAAATTCTGCACAGAGGGAGTGTGTTTGTGCCTCCGGGGAAACTATGATTCATATTAGTGATGAGCGAGTACAGATATCTGGCCTTATTTCCAGGTATCGGTACTCGCGATGGAAACCCTCCTGTGGCCGATTTACATTCAGGAATGTAAATCATGTGTGTTTTACAGATGCCAATTAACATGCAATTTTTGCCAGTATTGGTATATGATATAGATTTATGTTAATGCCTTTTAGGAATCTACCCGGATGTCGCTATTTCACATGAAATCTAAAGTCACGGTTTGTTTAAAAAAGAAAAAAGAAATCAATGTAACATATATAATCAAATGAATATGACATTTAAATATGACACACATTCTCCGATTAGGGGCGCAAAAACACACTTATGGGAACGATTCATGTCTTTCTAACTTCATAAATTAAATGTATTGCGCCCCGCAATGCGTTCTGGGAACTGAGTGGCTTTACTGTACTGCTGGGCAATGTGCTGTTGCGTTCTCTAATTGTGGAGGTCACAAAAATCAAATCTTCAAAAATGCATTTTCTGTATTGATAGCCCAGAAGAAACCAAGAGTCATGAAAATCGGTTGAGAAATCAGCAAGATATGACTTATATTCCACGCACATGCATTGCCTTTGAGGGAATGTTACATGCCATCAGCGTTGCTGAGCTAGGCGCCTACTGTGCGTCATATAATGTCAGTTGCTGGGTGTGTGCTATTGTATCATGTTAAAATCTTGCCAGTCATCGACAGTGGCTCAAATGAGCATCAGCATCGAGACTTCGGTTTCCACAAATAGCTTTAAATTGGGCGTGGCTGTTCCGGATGTTCAGGTTTGGTCTGTGTTGTAATTTTAATCAATCAGTCTTGTATTTATTTTGTATTGACATTTCCAGCTCAGGAGAATGCTATGACATAACGTCAGGTATCTTCTTCTTCCGACATATATATATATATGTCATTACATGGCTGCCACCTAGTGTTTAGACTGAGTTACAACAGTTGAATTAAATGGTGACAAATTTGTGTTGTCAAAACTCTTTATATAGGAGGCCTTGTTAAAAAAAATTTGAAATTTTTGCCGTCAGTATTACTCAAAACATGATTGGCCAAGCGTCCTTCACACTTGACCTTGAAAGTTCACATGCCATTCTGTTTTAATACGAATTGTATTGAAACAGAATGGCTGTTTACGTGTTTGTGCTGCAGCTGTGAGTCTTTCAGTTACTTGCACATTAGAGGCGCATTCGGAAATAATCTCTGAGCACGCATTGGTTCATGGCAAATGTTTGGAAAGTCCATGTTGCTGAAATTTGTCATTCGGCTCTTGAGAGTGCACCCACAAAAACCAGTGCTCGGCACTTAGCGCTATGACTGGGGACATGATGTGCCTGTGCTGGCTATGTTCGAGCACACTCTACCTCTGAACGCACCCATTCCCAGAGTAGTGTACAGGCGAGTGAATTTCTGAACGCGCATTAGGTTAAGAGGTACTTAACTCGAAGTTCATATCAGCAATGAAACGCTTTGCAATAAAAAAAAATTTTAAAAAACGACGGAAAAACCTCCCAGCCTAAATACGTTTCTCTGCCAAGCACCATTAGTGTGTATTACACTTTTATTAAAAAAAAAAAAAATCCCGGAGAGTAAATGAAGTCATGAAAATCGTCTGCCAAGCGTTTCCCCATCAGCTTCCCCACATGTTGGTTACCCCCACGCAGACTCAGGGAGAACATGCAAACGCCACACAGGAGATCCGAATCCGGAATAGAACCCTGCACCTCTGCACTGTGAGACGGACGTGCTCACTAGTCGACCACTGTACCACCCCAATTTTTCGTTCTGAAGTACAGCAATGGTAATTTAAAATTTGACTTTAATGTAATCCCACCTGAAACATAAAGCATAAAGTGGACATTTGTGATGTTGGTAATTCAGCCACGCAGACAGTTCACTTGCATGAAATAAATACAGAAACACATCGAGGTGCGATCGTCTCGTTTTTCCCAAATCATTTCTACCTCCTCCCGTCTCATTCCTCTGAGAGTCTGCTCGCTCCTCGATGGGATTTCTGTGAGGTGCCGACGTTGTATTTTGTGCGCATGCGTGTCACTTCCCAGATGTGGTCCGTTCACATTGAGAAATCTGTTTAGGTAATGTGAATGAGTAACTAAAAGATGGGATGTAACCAAAAATCTGAATTGAGCATCCTTCCGTGCAGTGTGAACATAGTCTTCGATAGAATATCACATACATTTCCAATTTCCCCACATGGCCCACTCCAAATATTTAGTAAATGGCAGGTCGTAAATTTGACAAAGCTTACAGATACCCTTTCCAACTCTACAACATAGTTTTCAGATAAAAGATAATAAATTAGGTTCTGCTACAATTGAGTTGATGGTTGAATTTGCGTTCCGATTAGTGAGGCAGTCCCATGACGTGCTTTTCAGTGAGTTGAATCTAAATATAGACACAGGCAGACGTCAGCCATGCTGCTGTGCAGAGCAGTTCATCAGACAGACAGCTCAACAGGTGCAAAGCAGAGGCCCAGTCATCTCATTGGTATCTCCCAATAGCTTTCGTCTCTACTTTGCACAAAGTAGTGTATTTGTCAAGTAAAATTTTTCCAAACAAATAAAGAGAGCGCAGCCATTTTCTCTCGATTTTTATTGTAAAATCAAATGTGGAATATACATTCCTGAACTAAAACAATAGTCCAACAGTGTTGATGTAAGCTGTCATGCTACTGAAGTTTAACAGTTTATTTTACCAAGACCCAATCTGTTTAGGTAGCACACCTTCGGTTGGGAGAATCATCAAAAAGGGTTCTTCTCTTTCATTTATAAAATGGAAATGCCAACAGCCCATACTGACTGCTGTTGTACAGGCATAGTTGATGGAAAAGTCCTGATGTGACGTCTGCTTTGATGAAGGAACACAATGTACATTGTATTAATGCACTGTGTTTCAGGTTGAGATGACTTTGCCTTTCTATGTTGGCGGTGATCTCCTGATGATGGAGCATGTATGAAATGTCTTAGTTTATGTAACTGCAACGGCACATTATAAGGAATTATTTGGAAGGATGTCTCCATCATTTTTGTGATTCATCATGCTCATGAACAACTTAACTCTGTATGAAGGTGGTCTCTCAGATAAGCTCCTGTCCTGAACTAAAATGTGGGCAATGTTCATAGTGCCACGAAGAGGGCAGTAAATAATTAGGTTCCTATTTCATTTTCACTAACCAAGTAACCCAATATCTATTCATGGATCTCATTGTTTTCTCATGTTGCTTGCTTCCATGCTTAAAAATTTGTTAATGCTCGACTGGAATCTGCCCCACGAGATCTTAAAATGAGCATTCCTCAAACCGATGGTCATCCGATGATCTGGACATCACAGTTGGTCAGATGTTGTCGACACATTTTAGATCAACCGTTTCATTCTGTCGGACAGCTTAGTCCAGTAGTACGTAATAAAACATTTTGCTAAAAGTCCCTTGATCAATTTGACTTAAATTTATGAATAACCCGAGGAAAATAAATCTTGTGGATTTTTCCATGGTGGTATCCTCTTAAATGGCTGTTACCTCTCCACTTTGCAATTTCCAATTGACTTCCTGTTCTGCCAGTTTGTTACAGTTGTGCTAGGTCTGGTCATTGTTTGAAGTGTTTTTTTTTTTTTTTCCCCCTTACTCCAAATGCTCCTGCTTTTCCTGTGTGTTTCATGAAAAACATTCTGGTAATATGTGTTCATGGCTTCCGAGATATCTCGGTTATTAAGTGGCTAACAAGTATGTTCATGTTGTGTCACACAGGCGGAGGCCAGGCTTGCAGCAAAAAGAGCAGCACGGGCAGAGGCCAGGGATATTCGGATGAGGGAACTTGAACGTCAGCAGAAAGAGGTATATATTCAAATTTTATAAACAAAATGTACATCCCTGAACAAAATTGTCTGTGAGAATTATTGAACTGAAAAAGTTGTCTCTCAAGTATTTTACAGGATATCCTCGGATTTGAACATAACCCATTAAGGGAAGCCAGTTGACAGATTGTTCAAATTTTGACACCCCCTCACCCCCCGAACAATCAGTTCTTGGGTCAAACCCTAACCATCATTATGGTGTATTTCTCTGTTTCTTTGGATTTCCGAAAAATAAGCTATAGTTATTGTTATAATTTAACTGGACAGCTGTTTTTTCATAACCATTTGTACATTCTTAACTGTCATGCAAATGCAAATTTAAAAAGGGTAACTTTTTTACAACCTTTTCATGTCAGGTTTATTGGTGCCTTTTTTTTTTTTTTTTTTTTTTAAATACACACCAAGTAAAGTTACAGTGGCGCTACGACATAGTGTCTTGCCGGGGTTTGTGTAAAACAAAGAGCAAGCTTTCTGTTTAAAAGCGGCTTTCGATCATCTGTGAAGTCTATTCTCTGAACATTAAAACTTAAACCCTGTTGAAGCAATGCAACATAATATTTATGTTCCAGAGGTGAGTCTTTTCACCTAAATATTAAATTCAGCTGACTTAACAATCCAAGTTCATTATTTGGATTTCGAGCTTTTGCTTGCATATTCAGAATACAGCATGGTTGAAGTCTGAAACAATGACGTACATTATATCCTGCGCTCACTTGCCTGTCAACTTAAATCTGCTACCCTTTTCCCATATGATGCAGAGGACCTGTTTGGCTTTGAAGCTCAATGTTTCTCCCAAAAAATAAAAACCTCCTGCATATCCACACAAATACCAGCATTTCTATTCTTGAAACAGTTGTTGACCACGTTTGACATGTCAGCAGTTTTGGGTGACGTATGATTGTATGTTTTTTCCTGGCATTTCCTCCCTCTGTCCAGCTTTCTTACCGCTCGTCTAGCAGCAGTAGCAGCAAAAAATGGGGTCAAATCCACCAGTGGATGGTAGGCGAGTGGGAGTGTTGCAGACCACTAACGCAGTCTGTTGTGTAGGACTGAGCTCCAGTTAGTTTTGACCCTTAATACGCTACTCTTGAGTTACTGACCATAATAAACCCCCTTGCGGAAATAGCATTAGTGTGTTTGCTATGGGTGCTGCTCAGCTTGAGTTTCTCAATGGTGGAAGTCATGCAATTAAGTTTGGACGTAAAGTGATTGTTTTACATTCCACTTCGAGTTTCACTTTATCTTCAGTTAATTCCCTTGCATGTTAATGAACTGTCTTTGCAGGATATTCTTCTGTTTGAGAATTGCTACTGTAAGTGAGCGATTAATACTGTCGTGTCAGTAATGTTTTAGAATCAGAAAATGCATGCATGGAATGAAATCCAAATAGCTGCCACTTGTTTTAATACACTTGTCTGAGAGGAACATTAAATGAGTAACACTGAAGGACAGATTACGTCTCCGTTTGCTGATGAACAGGATGATTGTTTTGCATGGTTTGGGCTTTCCATAGTAACGTTTTGGCCTGATCCACCCCTGTAATTGAGCCTCTTGTACTGTCTAATTCTTACCAACTTTCTTTCTTGACCGCAGGCTGACTCAGAAAAAGCTAGAGCCACTAGTAGTAGTAGATCAAGCAGCCGTCATCGGGTGTGTATATTTCCCTCCTACTTTCTTACTTCCTTGTTTTCCTTCTTGCATTTCCTATCATCTCTCCTTTCTGTCTCTTCTTTTGTTTCTTTCAACATCAACAGGGCCCAGATGATGATGTCATGTCTGTACGCAGCTACAGAGTGCGTACATTTTGAACACCTGCTGTTATTAACGCTCAAAAATCAACACTTGTTGAAAATAATATTTATTGCTTGGAAATGGTTTGTTAAATTATTTTAAACAAAAGTCCAGTAAAATACCTCTTTTTGTTCATGCGTATTGTGGATGTATGATAATGTTTATGTGCTGCGTTCGAAGTCAAGCTCATCAGCCATCCATGACTTGGGCTCGAACAGGAGTCGATCCAGCTCTCATAGAAAAGACATCTTGGTGCGTTTGCATGTGTAGTTGTCTCTGTGAACTGCGTGCTGCCTAACAGAGACTACATACTGTTGTGAATGTCAGTTTCCCAGTGTGCTTTTGAAATTGGGTATTTTAGCTCATTTAAAGACTTGTAGCTGAAAGTGTGATATATATATATTTTTTTTAACTAACTTAGGTAACTCAAGTTACCTTGATGCTAGGACTGCTTTTCACCAGCCGTTTTTCCTAAAATAGATTACCCTTCATGAGGTAGCGTTCTTGAGAGTGTTTGCTTGATGGCTTGATTGACCCATTATACACCTAACAAGCATTGGTGAGTTTCATGAAAGGTGTTCACCACCTATTTGACCTTCATTTTTTTTCCCCTCCTTGGTCCTGTTCTCCCGTTAGTCTGATGGTGTGACAAATAGCTCCGCTCTCAAGAGCTCGCGTTCCACTGTATGTATTTATTGCTGACACATATATATCTGATTAATCATTGATACACGTTGAGCTGATGTGACTTTTTTTATTGGGAAAACAGAGTTCTGTATACAATGATCTACATGGCCATAAAAAGTCTACATCTAGCTCCTCCAGGAAGGATTTGCTGGTCAGTAATACTTCACCTTCATTATATCCGCTTTGACCTCATACCAGGGATGTACAATCATAGCATAAAGATCTGGTGGTTTAACTACTAAATATAATTTAGACTTGATACATGAATTTACATTGCTTTAAGTCAGGGGTGTCAAACATACGGCCCGCGGGCCGAAACCGGCCCGCAAGGAGGTTCAATTAGGCCCACAGGATAATTTAAAAGTGAAAAAAATGCATTAAAGACAGAATTAATATTTTTAATAAGGTGCAATTCATTGAGTATCCGCAAGGGGACACTGTTTTGATCAGAGAAGAAGACAACAGCAGCCTCAGTCCGTCACTGTGACAGACCCATGACAGCAGACGCTATCAATAGCACTCTCACATTTACACATTTAATAGCACTCTCCTTAGTTTGTAAGATTACATTTAGATTTTATATGCACGTGTAAATGGTTTAAAACTTCCTTTCTTTATGAATCTCGTTTAATCTTAAAGTGCATTACTATATTTTTCAATACCAATTACTTGTTAATGTTTGTACAATCAGTGGGATCATTTGCAATGCATTTATGTGAATGATAAAAATAAATTGCACATTTGTCGAAGGAAATGTAAGGTGCTTCATGAAATATTTTGTAAAAGATATGTTCATTAAATTTCAACATTTTCCTAATGCTCTTGTGCTTCTTTATACCAAAACAAAGGAAAGACATTGTTTTGGTTATTTATAGCAAAGTATGGTATCATTTTAATGGTCCGGCCCACTTGACATCTACCGAGGCCGTATGTGGCCCACCATGTGAAATGAGTTTGACACCCCTGCTTTAAGTGGTGCCTCGATATACCATGAGATGTCTTTCGTCCTAGCAGCTAGAGCTCTTCACAAGCACCATAGACCGAGAGACAACTCTTGTCTGAAGTCTCCCCTGATGTTTGTTTCTGATTTTGATGCTGCTGCATCAAGAGATTGAAGGTTAAACTTGGGGGGCAAAAGACTGGCGCAGAGTAGTCAATCGATTTACTTTGTTTTCAAGACGAAGTATACTTTAGGCTCTACATCCCTTCTCACAATTAGAAATATGATCCCCTGTTAATAGCAGCTCTATGCGGATAGCACAGTTGCACACTTATCAAGGACTTCCACATCAAAATCTACATGTTGTTTTACACAATGTATTACTACGAATCTGAAGTAGTGTTTAGTGATGGTGTTTCTGTTTCTTACTTTTGGGGGGATTATACTATGTCGTTGCCCCTCCAGACTGGACTGTACCACGATCAAAGGAAATACACCAGCCTATCGAAGACCAAACTTCTGCCTTCTTCTACCATATCCTCCTATCAGCCACGGGTCTGTCCTTCTCTCCAACTCTTTTTCCTTTCATATACAGACTGTTGGTTGTAAAAGCCCTTGACTCAAACTATAACCGTCACACTGTAGTAACGAGTCTAAAATCTTTAGTTTGAGGATATACTGTAGGTTGTTGTGAAAAGGTACTGTGGGGTTCCACCAGCATGAAACCTTTGCCAGCCCTTTGGCCTTGAAAGTTTGTAATTTCAGCAAATTGTGCATCTGTTTTCGTGTACTGCTACTCTTACTGGAAGGAATTCTCCTCACATGAACTGACATTCCACTGTTCCCCGACTCTCTGACAGGGCATCACTTCCTCCTCTACTTCCACCACTGTCACAGGGCTGCCACGTAGCTATAGCATGGTCAGTTTCTGTCCATTGTATGGAGACTCATTGCAATGCATGCCTTTACTTCAGAGGTAGACCCCCCTCCCCCCTCCAAAGTGGCCATATATATGCTCTGGGATGCCCAGGCTGGATGATTCAGATTGCTTATTTTTAGACGCTGGACCATCTCAACTTTTGGCAGAGGCCACTTATTTATGCCTCAGCAAGCGAGATAAGCTATGTGTGATTAGGCCTAAAGATCATATCTCTCGTTGAAGAAGGATTTTCATCATCATCATGATTTTTCTTTTGTCGATTTGAACTGCAGGCAAAGTTTAACCTACATATTGCGGCAATCATTTTTGTACTCAATTCTACAAAAAAAAAAAAAACCCTCCATAACACTTTTTTTTTAATCTATAAATGGATCATTTAGAAACAGCACTAATTCTGTACTTAATAAGAGTATACTCTTTTTGTGCTTCAAAACAATAATCTTCATTTACATTTGTGCTTGACATTTGTCCTACTTATTTTGTATTTGCAGAGATTAGTTCCGACCAATTTCCTACCAATAATTGTTTGAGTTGCATATTCTGGTTTGTAGTGTTTCCTCCACGACTAGTTCAAAGGTAGACAGTATCTCTTTAGCAGTACCAGCTGTATTATTCCCGGAAATGTTGTTTCAGTTGTATAAATATGGACAGATTTTGAATGAAGTTGCGGTGTTTGCCGTTCAGCATTGAAAGAAAATGGCCCAACCTAAATACAGTGAGTGCCTCTACTTACTGCATGACCCTCCCGAGGCTAACAGCTACACAGCTCTGCACCCTCTCTGTTTTTTCTGAGTCCTACATTGTCTCCGATGTGTGCCCTCAGGCCTCTATTTATGACAACGCCGCTCTTTACGGCTCGAGTCTGGGTTCAAGAGCAGTAAGTCAAGTTTGTATAAATGACCACCACCACAACAACCTACTTTGTGCTTTTGCCTTAAGTTCTGCCCCTCTCATCTTAATCTCGTTGTCTGCCACATCTGCCACCCCTATCCCCTTTCACACAGCCCTCTGAATATAGCTGGTACTCCTCTGGAGCCAGTTCCACTCGCAGCAGCCCTGTGGTGAGCGCTATAATCGGCCTCCAATCGCATGATGTACACTAACATCACACACAAGATGTCCCCTGCTCCAGGACTCTCTAACTTTGATCATCCGTAAATCATTCTCGGACTTAATATTAAGGACACTGTTGTTATCCTTGAAGTATATGAATCGAGATTTGAGAACATGTCTTTTGAAATTATGTGAAAACTTGCATTCTCTATGTGGTTGTCCTGTTAGCCTACACGAGTGGGGCTCCTGACAGGATATGTTGTGGTGTGTGCTTTGTGTGAATATTTCCGTGCGTGCCCATGTCAGTCTTCCTCAGATGACGACATTGTGAGCAGCGTATCCCAAGAACGCTTGAGGAGAGGCCGCAGGGACAGTGCGGTGAGCTTTAGGGACAAGAGGAGTGCTCCATTTAGATTGCTCTTCATTTGTCACAGATTATAATGTCAACTCTTGCTGTTTTGTTCTCACGGCCATGTCTTGATGTATATCCTTTTTCCCCCACCTCTTTCTGTCTTCTTCTTTGATCTTGTGTCTCTATTGGAAGTAGTCATCTGACTTCTCTGACATTAGTGAGTCTGCAGCTGATTATTTCAGCCGCTCCAACAGGAGGGGCAGTATTGTGTCTGATCTGGATGATTTGAGCATTCCAGATCCGGATGCTGTAAGTCGCCTGATTCAGTTCCCAGCATCTGAGTAATAGAATATTTCTGTTGCTGCATGGTTTGAAACTAACATTTAGTTAATATAAAAGATTCATCTCATGGTTGGTGATTTGGCAACTTATGACTTGGTATATCAGTAGGAAGCCTTCTCGTAGGTAAACTTAGCATTTGTGTGTTCAATAAAATGTGTTAAATACAGTGTTTTTTTATGTATTGAATTGTTATGATCAGGTGTGTTGAATTTGTGAACATGCAGCACTTGTCCTGATTGGTGAACTAATTTCCCTAATTTGCAGAGTGGAGAACTATTCCGGGCATGATTACTGTCAAAATTGTCTTCCCATGTAACCTAATACGATATTTCTACTTTTTTCAGCTGGACGAAAAATGTGACAAACAATATTCAGATTACAGTCGGGTAAGTGTACCTTTCTCCCCGCCCCCCAACATCTTTTCATTAAAAAAAGTTCTGAAGGTACATTGGAATTGTTACACAGACGATATTTGTATATTTGAGCCTCAAAATACTGAAAATTTGAACATCCTTTGATCGTCCGCCACCTCAGAACAGCATACATTTACAAAAGAGAATTTGATTCATATCTCAATATATTTAAGTGGACGACTTGCACTTTTTAAATCTAAACCGGTTTTCTACCGGTTTTGCAATCCACAAAAATTTTGGGTTACACCCCTCATACACATGCATATATAGTTAGACAATTCAAATCCACTCTGAATTTGAAATTTGAATTTGTTTGTACGTTGGCAACAAATTGTATTGCAATGTGTTGCAGAATCATACGGTAACATAACACAACTATTAGCTCTATAAACTGGATAGTGCCTTAGAGGTTTGTTTATTGTTTATTGAACATAAAAACATATACAGTAATAAATAAAGTAAGGATAAGTAAAAAAGGAAAAGAAAACAGGCATCATACAGCACAATTATATGTTCAAAGGAGTATGAAGAAGTAAAAAATTTATCTAGTCCTACCCCATGTTATGTATTTATATATAAATAGATCATTTTTTATATTAATCAGAAAAAAAATTAAAAAGTCTGCCTATAAACAAATGCTTTTACCCTTATCTGTGCTATACTTATCTATTTTTACAACTTTTGGTTTGTATAGGGATTATATACATACACACTCTAGCACATTTATATGGCAATTTTCTCTTCTATTCATAATGGATCTTGTATTACATTACTACATTTATCAACTTAATTTTGATTTATTATTATATTTAATGAATGTTTCAAATTTATCACCTTAACTCTGATTGATGTACCGGTAGTTTTTTTTTGTACTATTCTCTTGAATTTGTTTTTGAACTCAGCAAGCGATTTACTCATTTTCAGGTCCGTTTCAAATTATTCCACAGAGGTTGTCCTCAGGAATGTTAAAAGCCCAGCCGAAGTGTACGTAGCATTCCCAAACCTTCACTACATTTGTTGCAGTTATGATTAATTACACATCCATTTTATATTATTGTGATCTTTCATCAACATGGTTGTAGAAGAGTCACGGTCATAGCAGCTCCTTAATCAACAATTAATTAAAAGTGAGAGCTGAATTTTGTACACGTGCACACCTTGAGGAATCTCAAGAGCCGGTTTATCAGGTTTATCAAACTACAACTCAAGCAAGTGACAGTGGCAATGTCAAACACGGAATGATCGGACTCTTCTGTGCTGTTCGGTGACTGTTAGTGTGTGCTTTTTGTGTGTTTTGTTTTGACTGGTCACCTGCATGTTGTGTTTCCAGCCATCTTCCCGCTGTGCCACCCCAGGCCTATCAGCAGCAACCCTAGCCTCACTGGGTGGAACCTCATCACGACGGGGCAGCGCAGACGCCGGCAGCGTCTATGACCCAGACACTAGCTTGAGCGAACTAAGGGTAAGGCAAACAAACAGCACTTACCTTCTGCAATCACATAAACAATTTAGGGATGGGGAGATCAGCGATAAAGCGGGACAAGGCATGAACAAAGAACTGCAATAAGGCTGGGTAACACAGTATATTTATTTATCTATGGTCTATAACTGTTCTGTGCCCATGAATCTCTCCAAAGCATTGCTTCTTTTTTGTCCTCTCCGCTGTTCTAAGCATTTACTGGGCCAGTTTTTCCTTTATGGATGCATGGAAGGCTGGGATGTGACATGTGACCTTGGAAGCTCTTCCTTATATGTGAGCGTGCTGGTACTGTGCATTCCGGCCGCATTCTCTTTTAAGAGATGGCAGCACGTGTGCTTTGTAATCTCTCCTTGATCATCCCCTTCACTTTGTAGCTCCGATTCAACCATTCCCTCCATCTGCTCCACAGGATATCTATGAACTAAAGGACCAGATTCAGGATGTAGAAGGGCGATACATGCAAGGGCTTAAAGAGCTGAAGGTAGAGGGGCTTGAGTTCACGGCATGCCGACTCTTGTCCTGAGAGCAGTATGGCATCACTAACCCCCTGCCTACCCTCTCAGCCCCCCAGCCCCCACGCCTGTACCCCCTAACACCACAGCCATGTTATCGGCGTGCTCTCTGTCTGAATGACTTTTCTTTTGCATGATTTCCCCACACTTCCTGTTTTTATCCAAGTTACTGTCTGTGGCCACAATTAAAGACGTGCCCACATTTTTCCGGAAGTAGTAGCAGTGACTTGCTCCACCTGCCGACTAATGGCAGGGATGTTTTGAATTTCTGCCATTATGCTCTTGGCACTGTTTGATGTGCCCTAACATCCAGTGTTTGAAGTAGACGACATCATCTTTCCTAGTTCTTTTTTTAGACGCTTGCTCTGTAAATATACAAATGGCTTTAGAAGAAAACAAGTACAAAGAAGGTGTAACGGAATTCCTAGGCCACATGATTTTTTTTTAAGTTCAGATTTTGCAAAAGGAGGTGAGCAGTGTTTAAAACTGTGTTATTAACATGCTCCATTTCATGTCAGGAATCCCTTACAGAGGTGGAGGAGAAGTATAAGAAAGCAATGGTATCGAATGCACAGCTGGACAATGACAAAGGCAACCTCATCTACCAAGTGGACACTTTAAAAGACGTCATTGAAGAGATGGAAGAGCAAATGTCAGAGATGAAACGAGAGCTGGAAGAAAAATCAAAGGTGAAATAACCAGTCCCTTTCTAGGTTTACACATTTTATTGTGTAATGTAAGCAGATGAATATCTGCTAGAATTTGGTGTTTTACGTGACCAAATTCTATTGTCATTTTTTTTCCAGGAACTAGAAAGGCAAAAGCACACATGTACTGTCCTGCAGCATAAACAAGAAGAATTGAAAGAGGGAATCCGTCAGAGAGATGAACTTATTGAGGTATGTCTACGCTTGTGTGACCACATTGCTCGCAATACTGTCAGCACAATGAAAGTGCGAGTGGTTCCGTGCAGCTGCCTACTGAGACTTAGTGCAGTGACCTGATAAGGACTGATTGACACTGGCCTCCCTCTAATTCATGTATATTTAGTAAAGTCAGTTATCACCACAATCCTTCCGCTTCCTTGCCGCTCTGTTGAAGAGCACATTCTCACCCTGTTTCAATTGTATGTATGTGCATTTTTTCTTATTCTGTCTTCCATTGAATATTTCCTTCCTGTCTTGTACTTTGCATTCTTGTTACTGTTCATCACATCTCCAGGAGAATCAGCGATTGCAGGCTAAGTTAGATGTGCTCACCAGAGAGGTGTTTGACCTGCAGGAAACAATAAACTGGAAGGAGAAAAAGATTGGGGTAGGAGGTCCCGCATAGATCCTGCTATAGAGTGAGAGGCACAAGATGATCTGAATTTGAAGCCAGGCAAATCTTTTGTCTCTCACGCTCTCTGCATAATGAACCCATAGTGTCATAGGCAGCACACCCACATATAGTAGTTTCTGCATGTCAGAATAACAAGGTGTTAAGTTGTGATCCAACAAGCTTTGCTCACGCTAAAAAAAATAAACAGCTTGCCGTGAATATCATGCATCATGAAAAACATGATTGGCTAGCGTTATATAAACTTCTACAATGTGTTTGCCGGTACAAATGAGTGTTTAAAAGTTAATCATCCAGCATGATGTGCGCATTTCACACGTGAACAGTTTGACAGGCCGTTGCAGTGTTTGTGTTTCCCTCCTTCTGCACTCTGTCATTCATGCTTATCCTTTGCCTCTCCTTTCCGACTAGCTATCTCCTTTGTACATTTTCACTGTTTGGCATGCACAGCACATGATTGTGCATGAGACACGGCAAGTGTGCTGGTGCATCTCTATCCACTCTCCAACTTCACTGCCTCTTGTCCATTCTTGTCTTCTGTCATCTGTGTGGCCAGGCCCTAGAGAGGCAGAAAGAGTACTTTGATTGCATTAGGAATGAGAGAGATGAGCTCAGACATGAGCTTGCTGACCTCAAGGAAAATGCCAGATCAAAAGAGGTAGGTCATCCTGCGATGTTACAACAAATACAGCTGAGACATGGGTTGCTTGTGAATAATGACTTTTGGTGTGTTAGAAATGACTCCGTTTCAAGAAAAACATGACTGTTTGGGTTTACACGTTAATGTTTTTATAAGGTTGTCTTAAGCCTTTAATTATATTTCCCCAAATTAAGCACTTAATTTCCTTCTATCATTGAGTCAAAGGTCTTAAAATGCTGCAGACTAGAAGTGCAGCAATTAATGGACAACAATGGATAATTATTTTTGATAATCCATTAATTCCCAACTTTCACCTGTTTATACCGAGGCTTGCTTTCAGAAGATGTTTTGGGAAGGTTCTAGAACCCCCTTTCAAAATCTCTGGTGCCAAGTCTGTTGCAACAGCCAAATGCTAGGAAATTAGTGACCAAGAGAGGAAAAGGCTACGGTTCTTCAGGAATGTTGCAGAAGTTGGTGTCTGGCTTGGTATTAAATTTACGGCCTATCATAATATTCAAGGTGCTGTCATTGTGCTAATAGAAAAAGGAAATAACAATGGCATTGATTTTACCTCACCTATACCAAATAGAACAAGCATTGCTTCAACATCATCAACAGAAAAAAAAAATCTTTACAGACAATGGGGGAAATAAGGGCAAATCTCCCTTTTGTGAAAATGTATACTCAAACACGGTCATTAATAATTTCAGCCATTTTCCAATCCGCTAATCCGCAAGGGTGGCTGGAGCCTATCTCAGCCGTCTTCGGGCAGTAGGCAGGGGACATCCTGAACCGGTTGCCAGCCAATCGCAGGGCACACAGAGACAAACAACCATCCCCACTCACAGTCACACCTAGGGACAATTTAGAGTGTTCAATCAGCCTGCCATACAGGTTTTGGAATGTGGGAGGAACCCGCAGTACCCGGAGAAAACCCACGGAGGCCCGGGGAGAACATGCAAACTCCACACAGGGAGGCCAGAGCTAGAATTGAACCCGGTACCTCTGGACTATGAGTTCAATGTGCAAACCACTGGACCACCGGGCTGCCCATTAATAATTTCACTTTTGAAATGGTCAACAGTTTTACAGAATGAAATCAGATGTCACTGCATGGCTAAGCTAGTGTATAATTACTTTTGACAGCTCTCTCACAGTATCTTCTCATGTAAATGTTGTACAGGGGCATGGGTATCTCTGCAAATATTTGCAGCTTGAATGCATATACCTGTGGTCAAAAGTTCCCTACATGCCAATAAATCACTCACTGCTTTTTCAACGTACTAGTGGGCAAGATTCAGCATGAGTCTTTTGAGTTAAGAGTGCAGCCAGGGGTCAAATCGAACTTGGATCTCAAGGCACCACTGTGTATGCTGCTTAATCAAGATGATTGGCGTATGGCTGGTAGGCCTATCACCACTGAAAGCAGTCTGTTTGGGTTTAGTTGGGCCCAGAACGGTACGGAGAGTGGCGCCGTATAGTAGATAGGTGGCCTCAATCATGCTTGTGTTTGTCTCTTGCCAGACACACGGACTAGTCATCATTCCAGATGGCACACCAAATGGAGATATCAGCCACGAGACCGTGTCCCCAGGAATCACCGTGGTCTCGCAAGAAGCCGCCCAGGTACTGGAATCTGCAGGAGAGGGTCCACTTGGTAAGTCCCACAAATGGGTTTTAATGACACATTAGAAGTGTTTGTTTGGCTATTGGTGTGACCGTTCACCAAAGGTAAATGAGGTGGTACAATGGCATGACTCCGTCCAAGTGACGTTGAGGTCAGTTGGGTGTGAATTCCGCAATTCTGATAAAACTTCCAAACATTTGCAGTGTGTGTCATTTTATTTCTGTTTGATAGATGTGAGGCTACGGAAGTTAGCTGAGGAAAAGGATGAGCTGTTGGCTCAGATCAGGAAATTGAAGAATCAGTTGGAGGAGGAGCGACAGAAACACTCAAAGGTGGACAGTGTGTACGTAGACGGCGAGAAGATGGAGAACGGCACCGAACTCCACTTCATTGAAATGCAGAGTAAGTTGAGCGTATCGTGATTGGGCTGCATTCATCAAACCCATCTTTCTTCATTTCAAAACTCTTCTCATGTTTAGGAGACGCCAACAGACAGATTAGTGAATACAAATTCAAGCTTTCAAAGGCAGAACAGGAAATGGGTACAATGGAACAAAATGTAAGTACAGATTGCTTGTCAAATGCTTCGGAAACTTGGAAATGACCAAATGGTTTCCTTGTCTTCTTGCTTCAGATAAATAGGCTTGAAGGGCAAGTGTCCAGGTACAAGACGTCCGCAGACAACTCTGAGAAAATAGAAGATGAGCTTAAAGCAGAGAAACGCAAACTCCAGAGAGAGGTAAGCACAAGCTGTTTGATTTAGTAGGGATGACCATTCAGAGAAAGTGGAACCAGCTGCAGCTAGTGACAGCGCCTTGAAAACATTTCAGTTATGTAAATTTGTCGGGGTCAAAATTTTCTCTCCCCCACGTTAACATCTTTTGCATTTCTTCATTAGTCCGCTTGGACAGCAGATAAGAGGCAAAGCATTCTGGCTTCAAACTGTTTCGCAATCCCAGTTGTTGTTTCCCGTAAAACTGCCACATTGAATTAGACATTGTTGATTTAAACACTGACACGTTCAACTAAAATCATGTAATTTCATCCAACATAACATATGCAAAAATGTATATAGTGCTTATGGGAATTAGAATGGATGTTAGACACAGGAATTTAATGGATTAAATTAGTTACATGATATTTTGAAAACTGTTGTAAAAAAATGTAGTGCCCATTTCTACAGCGTCAAAGTTAAATTAATTTTAACAGTACTGAAGAGGTGTTGGATTTGAAAAAAAAAGTTTAAGCCACTGCATTATGCAGTTGGAACTTTTTGTTAAGTGATTCTATTTCATACCACTAGAGGGAGCCCGCATGTCACACTTTGACAATCATTGCAGTCAGTGTACACAATATAAAATGTCGCAGATTCAATTAGGATGGTCATTTAATTTGATGAGAGTCACAAGCACGGCATGTGTAATGTTGTTGCCTGGCAGCTACGCACAGCTTTGGACAAGATCGAAGAGATGGAGATGACGAACAACCACCTCGTAAAGCGGTTGGAAAAGATGAAGGCCAACAGGAACGCCCTCCTTTCCCAGCAGTGAGGCAAAGGCGGCATCACCGCAGAAGCCCTTAAAGTCGCACCGCCGACGGCCATGTAGCGCCTGCCCTCCAAGCTCTCACACCTGAACATGTGTAGCTCAGCAAAAACTCTCCATGTCACGAAAGAATGAGCAGACCTGCCTTTCTTTGCAAACCAAATGTTTTGGTTTGTCCCAGCCAGCAGTTGCCAAGACTCAAATGCAACAAATTATAACATCAATGGGAGATAACAGTACATGTGAGGAAATATCCTGTTTCGTTTTTGTTCTGCAACATTTTAGTCACATGATTTAAGTTCATTCTGGCTGGGTGCTTGGCTGTTCTTTTTTGTTTGTTTTGGTTAAGTTGCATGAATGAGTATCCTGATGCTTTTAAAAGGACTGTCACAGCTGCTCTGGCCCTGCACCTTCCAGCTTCCCTCACACAAGCCAAGTGCCTTCTCCATCAAACAATAATGGTTTTAATTGGTGGTACAATATGTATTTAAAGAGGTGCAAATGGAAAATATAGCCAGCCAACTGCTGCAACTTCCTTCACTTTTTTTGTCAAATATTTAAAAGATTTCTTGAAAATGAATGTGTAATTTGCAGAATTGTGTAAACCGTATTTTATTTCAAACAATCCCATGTGCAAATGCTCTCAGCTGCTTTCATTATCCTCTCGATCCCCACATCTCTTACTTTGAGTAGTTTTGACTCTTTGGTCTCGGGTCTTTGCGTAGGGTGTAGAATCATCCGAATACGTCGGGTCCCCCCCCCCCCTTTGGTGGAAACTTTGAAACAGCCCATGATTTTCCACACTTACAGTGGCATTACAAACCAGGAGTGAAGGCATACGTTCCACCCACTCTGCTTATGTCTGTTGGGGCTTGGAATGCTGTTGTGGTAAAAGTGGAGTGACGTATTTGAGGTGTCGTTTACGCACCAGAAAAAAAAGGCTATGGTTTAACTTGAGCTTGCTCAGAACTTGGGTTCTGCCTTATGGAAAGCCATTTGAGCGTTCGCAGTGGTGTGAAAAAAAAAAAAAAGGTTTTTGGCTACTTACTGATTTATTTATTTTACGTTTTAGTCACACTACAGTGTTTCTCTTCATCAAACACATTTAAATATTAGTCAAAGACAACACAAAATGCAGTTTTTAATGTAGGTTATTATCAAGGGGGTGGATCCAAATCTACAAAGTACATAGTCCTGTGTGAAAAACTCATTGCCCTTAAACCTTATAACTGGGTGGACCACCCTCGTCAGCAACAACCAAAATTAAGCAGCAATGAATCTTTCATACCCCCCTTGCTTGCCGAATTCATTTAGTTCATTAACATTGAAAGGTTTTTGAGCATGAACGGCCATGTCAAAATTATGCCACAGAAGATATTAAGGATATTGAACGCTCGAAAAGCATTCCATACTTCTTCTTTGAAGGATGCTTGAGCCAGGGTGTACGCAGAAGGAATTTGAATTTAATGAAAACATACAAAAACGTACACCAAGTAAAAAGGAGCAGCATGAGACGATGTTTCCGAGTCATCTAACACCTCTCAAATACTTTGTAAAGATCCGGTAAATTAGCGATCTGCAGCACCGTGCCGTCCTCACTGATGTGTCTGGGGGGACTAATGAGTGAACGGAAAGCCTTGCATAGGATGTGCTCAACGTTCCATCGCCACGATTTCACCTCTGCATCCTGATGTGACACAAAAAAAAACCAAAAACAAATCAATGATACCATCTAAGCTACACGTATTGTCAAGCGTCTCATGTCCTCTGACCTGCTCCTCTCCTGGCTCCACCTCCAGGATGTATTGCTTCCTTATTGAATAGAACACGCTGCACTCTTTGCTGAAGTCTCGGAAGCATTCTTTTTCGTTGTCCCAGTTCACCTGCATGACGGCAAGGGAAATATTGCAGTTGCTGTCATGAGAATCATTCATCGAGTCTACGGCTAAACTACTCTTCAATCACCTCTGTTGCCAGGCGAAGGATGAACATGGGCAGACCTTCCATGACAGGCGTGTAGTTGTCAATCAACAAGGGTAATCCTCTTAAATTTCCCTGCTGCAGTGCACAATCGTTACAGTTCGAGTAAATCACAAGAGACGTGACTGGGTAAATGAACCTCAACCTGATCTATCTCCATGGAGAAATAGTCCTCCAGCATCTCGGCTTTCTTCTTCAGGAAGTCCACTATGTACTCAGCCAAGCCTTCTTTGGGTCCATCCTCCTCAGTCCAGCCACTCTCCTCAGAGTCCAGAGCCAACATGGCCAGCTCGTAAATGGGAGCCGGTGTCTAGAATCCCACAAAGGCCGGTTAGAAAAAAAAAAAAACATCATCACAGTGTGGTCACTTGCTACTTACAGAGAGTCTCAGTACACCAAAGTTCCCAAAGTCATAGATGAGGATTTGGTAGAAGAGCTCCTGGCTGCAGCAAGGACAACAATGACAAGTTACCTAAATAGATTTTCCATGCGTGCACACGCACGTGCGTGCGTTTGAGAATACCTTAGCGTTGTGGTGTTGAGCAGGTAGAGTTTAGTGTGATGCTGGATCAGAGTCCACTGGGGGTTGACGCAGCCCACAAAAGAGTGATTCTGCAGCATCTCCTGCAAACCTGGAGGCACATAAAGGAGCAATTTCTTTTCTCTCGGCTGAAGTGAAATTTAATTACAAAAAAAGAAAGACTGGCAGTCACACTTATGACACAATGCAATTTGGCTAAAAACGTATCTGGCAGTTTAGCTCAACACCTCAGCAATATTGTTCACTTGTCTGACACTACTACTACCTGACCCTTAAAGAGAAATGGGTCACAGATGATTTGATTAAAAATAATAATAATGACGATAATAAAAAAAAGCAAATGAGGCAGGAGTTTACTGTAGCTACTTCATACCTTTGTGTGTGTTGTCGCTAATCTCGGCTCTCAGCTCTTTTACACTGTTTAGTTTGATGACTCGTCTCTTGGGGGTGGCTGAGGCAGTCTTGTCCTCGTCTTGCCCCTCTTCCGTATCCTCCTCCTCCTGCTGCTCTTTCCTGGGACGCTTCCTAGTATGTAAGAGACATGCATGTTCAACACTTTGTTTAGGCTTGTGTAGGCCAGATGGGGGCAGTAGAATTCCACTAATATTACGGTACATTAAAGTCTGCAAAGTAGTATTCAAGTGTTGAGCGCCATCTAGCCATTTATTTTCCATAGCATTTGTCATCTTTATTGCTGACATGCGTGCATGCAACTAAGGGAAGGAGTCACCTTTGGACATCGTGCACTTGGTCGCTGCTCTCCTTCTCACTTTTCGGCAGCTCTACCTCCATCTGGTCCAGTGCGTCCAGCATGTCCAGATCATCCGGCTCGACAGCTTTGGACTTGGAATCGGTGCCGCTCGGGCCAGCGGGTTCTGGCTCGGGAAGCAGCTTCTCCTTTGGCTGGAGGAAGGCATCCAGCTTCTGAGCACGACAGTCAGTCCTCACCATCTGATGCGCGTAGACGCGCTCGCCAGACTCGGATGTGCCGCTGGATGACTTGATCTCACCTGCACCACACACAGACAGCCCGGGCAGCAATGTCTGCACAGAAACAAAAGCAAGGCAAGTTTATTCCTCTATTCATATTCAGCCTAATAATGTAACATATTTGCCCAAGTCATTTTTAGCCTGCTCTCATATGATCAATTAAAAAAAAAAAAAAAGGAGTGAGGGTGCACAACATATGCCCATAATGGAAACACACATCCAATAGTACCTGAGTGAAGTATGTGCGTGAAGAGTTGGAGCCTAGCAGCTTGCCCTCAATGTGCTTCTGAACGCTTTCAATGACGCTGTCCTCGTGCAGGAAATGCACCTCGTGCTTGGTGGGGTGCACATTCACGTCTACATTCTGAGGGGCGATCTCTAAACTGCAGAGGTCAGGTCAGACAAAAACGCTCGGTGAAGACATTTTGCATGTAGTGGATGTGAAGAAAAAAAAAAAGTATATCAACGCAATTTACAGCAGATATTGGTAGTTTAGTATGTGCAGCAACAATGGCCTGTCTTCTTTTGCCAGGCTATAGGTTAGGGTGGCAAAAAGGCATACTCATAAAGAAAAAAAAATAACCAAGACTGGCTACATTTTACGAAAACAGACTTGAGGTTGTGTTTAGATTCAGCACAAGGATAATCAGCTTGCTTTCATGGAGGACAAAAGAAACAGAATAGGATTTATTGTTAAGACTCAGAAATATTGAGCTTTGGAGCATTTTTGTTTAAAAAAAAAAAAAAAAAAAAAGTAAATGATTAATTAATTACCAAACATAATTATAGATTATGTGATGACTGATTGTTGGTGATTAATCAATTAATCATTACACCTGGTTAATCATGTTTAAAATGTATATTATATATATATATATATATATAGAGAGAGAGAGAGAGAGAGAGAGAGAGAGAGAGAGAGAGAGAGAGAGAGATAGATAGATATTTTAATAGGAAAATAGCTCAGACATATGTCACGCTCTTTTGCCATTTTCTTTCACCTCAAAAGATACCACTTCAACACACCAAAAAAACAAACTCAAAATTTGGCCAGGGGTGGCTAATTTAACTTTAGTTAAGTCCTCTACAAACTTGCCATTCTCTGTCTCCTTTAGAACGCATTGTTACCTGAGATAAAGGAAAGGGTGTGTGTTCTTGGGCAGATACGCGGCATAAACTGTCTCCACGGCTTTCTTCAGCGCACTCGACTCCACCAGACGGTCTGAAAGATCACGAGCGCCGTTCACAATGCCAATCATTTCAGGAGTGACAACACTCCCTTGTATGTTTGGTACTTACGGTTGATGAAGAGGACCATGATACATTTCCTGACTGAGTAGTTTGCATTGGAGATGTAACCCTTCAGTTTGAAAGCCAGCTTCTGGTCCTCGCAGCCAACCTCGATCAGCTCCCTAGGAACATCATCGATAGCAGCGCGGAGATAAAGGTTTTTTTTTTCTTTTTTTTCTTTGTGTTTCTTTCCTCGACTGACTAATACCTGCTGACCGCATTGCCAAAAACTCCTCGAATGTTATCCACCACTGATGCGTTGGGCAAAGTCCTCACATCTGCTACCGTCTCTCCTTGCTGGAAGAGGACACCAAGATGTTGGGGGGAAAAAAACAGCATTATTATTCACTTATATAATTTTATGGAGTTGTTCCCTCACCTTCTTGACAGAGAAGCTTTTCCCGGAATTGTGTATAGCATACCTACAAAACAAGAAAATCCCAAACATTGGATGTAGAAAAAGTGCTAACAAAAGCAACTCTCTGATATGCAACAGTTGGCACGGCAGCACCTGCTCACCACCTCGACAATCCTGGAGTACTCATCGCTGGGGTTTTTTAAAGCTTTCCTCCTGGTAGACACATTGTAGAAGAGATCCTCTGCCTGTGCACACAGAGACTGAATTATCAGCGCACTTATTCTCAGCAAGCACTACTGTATTTTATGTACACTTGTACAATTTAATGAGACAAAAAGACCTGCAGCAAAAGTTCTGCCTGTCTGAAGCTTTTAATGATTTCATTGACACAATGCAGGCATTTATTGAACAATTTTGCTCCACATGGAGCTAGTCAAATAAACCAAAATATTCAAATCATGTTTGTTTTTTTTTGTTTTTTTTTGTGGGGGGGAGGGGGCAAATTCCAATATTTGGCTGAATAAAATGCCGATAACCGATTAATCAGTTGAAAAACATGCTGTCACTGCCCTATTCTAAATGGACCATGAATCGATGCGAGTGTGAATGATTGTTTAATTGCATGTGCCTTGCATTTAACCCCCTCTCGCCAAGAATCCCGCTGGGATGGGCTCCATGCACAAGCACTACAGAAAATGGATGGAAGAAGTAATCGTGCCAAACTCACCAGTATTTGTGTTCCCTGGTTTCCAGCGCAGGGTTTCGGAGGGCCTTTTAGTTTACCATCACTGTAGGCGCCTCTGCAAGACACAAGAAGTAGCAAGGTCATCCATCTGCCTCATTGTGAAACCTATTTTACATGTGGTCATACCTGTAGGCGCATTTGGCATCAACTGTCTTTGTTGTTATGGTTACGTGGGCGACATGGCTTATACTGGCCAGAGCCTGCAAACGGACACCAGGAAGATGTGTATATTGTTTCTATGTATTATTTGTTATCTGCATTTACCTCTCCTCTGAAGCCATAAGTTGCAATGGCAGAGAGGTCCTCAAATGTCTGCAGCTTGCTTGTGGTAAAACGCTCGCAAACTATTTCCATGTCTTCTCTCTGCATCGCAAAAAAAGAGGTCTTGGTCAGAGCCTTGTACGGAGCAGTCAGCGCTTCACATAAACATTTGGGTTTGTATTGATTTAGCCTCGTGGAAGCTGGCGTGCTTTGTGACAAGAGGCACTAACCAAAGAACAGGACCAGAGCAGTAACAGGATCGTGCAACTCCAAATATTTGACATTAGGTGCATGAACTGCCAATTATTGCTCAAATTACGTCAAATTTTAACAAGATGTGTAAAAACTTAATGGCAATGTTACATTTTTTGTTTATTTAAATGTTCACTTTTTGAGGGCGAAGAATGACATTCACAACAAAAGGGCATTTGTTTGTGTTTGAAAAGACTCGAACACAGATGTTGTTGGAGTTATTTCACCTTGTTTGCCTAGGACATATAGTCACTCCGATATTCATATTTCAAGTGCAATAATGTGAATTTTTTGCATGCAACCCTCAGCGCGTGCATCAATGTCCTACCCGAATACCGGTGCCGTTGTCCTGAATCTGCAGCAGCTTCATTCCACCGTCTTTAACCGTCACCTGGATGTTCGTGGCCTTGGCATCCAGACTGAAACATTTAAACACACGTTTCTCACTCATTTCGAGAGATGCACACGTTTGCTGCTGGCTCCGAGTGCGAGTCAGTTACCAACCAGTTTTCAATCATTTCTTTAACAGCGTTGGCAGGGCGCTGAATAACCTCTCCCGCGGCTATCCGATTGACAACCGTCTCGTCGAGCCTCCGGATGACCCCCGCCATCATTAACAGCACTCGCTCAACTCAATTCAGTGTGCTAAACTCGAACGGCCATGCTGTTTACACTTGTTTGTTTACAAGGTACTACTGTATTCGAACGGGGATACGGAAGTTGCGTAGTCAACGAGAGCGGGAATGATAAGAAGACATCTCACTTCGGCCAAACAAAATGTATTTTTCACTGTGTCTGCTACTTTTGTTGCGATATAGGTATTGTACTTAAATTCTTACAATATAAAGTTTCGAAAAGTAAATAACACTATTCCGGCCGACTGCAATCGGCGCGCGCGGAAAATGGGGCGGGGTCTACCGTCGCTCCATGAAGACGTCACGTCCTTTCTCTTCTTCTTGTGTAAATATATTGGAAGGCGTGGATAATGGGCTCAGATCATGGTGAACGTCTGTCGATGTACTGTACACTAGAGCCATTAACAATAGGCTATGCTGTGTGCATTTTGGAGCGAATTTACACTTCCCTCATGATAAAAATAATTATTCACCGAACTAAATGTGTGTGTATGTGTGCGTGTGCGTGCTTGCAAACGTTCATAGGTTTTCTTTTCTTCTTTCTTCTTTCTACCCATTATCTTGCTGCTGTGGACTGTAAATTTCCCCATTGTGGGACAAATAAAGGATATCTTAATATCTTATCGAAAAATATAGTAATGCACTTTAAGATTAAACGAGATTTATAAAGAAAGGAATTTTTAAACCATTTACACATGTGCATATAAAATCTAAATTCAATCCCTGCCAAACTAAAGAGAGTGCTATTAAATGTTAAAGAATAAAGTATTCACATGTCCTTGATAGCGACTGCTGTGTTGGGTCTGTCTTAGTGACAGACTGAGGCTGTTGTTGTCTTCTTCTCTGATCAAAACAATGTTGTCTTCTACTCTGATCAAAACAGTGTGTCCCCTAGCGGATACTCCATGAATTGCACCTCTTTAAAATATTCATTCTGTGTCTTTCATGCATTTTTCCACTTCTAAATTAGCCTGCGGGCCTGATCGAACCTCCTTGGGGGGGGGCCGGTTCCGGCCCGCGGGCCTTATGTTTGACACCCCTGTACTAAACTGACCTTTGTCATCAAGCAGGATGACCTCATCAGAATGAAACTCTAAAAGGAGGCTCCCCTGGGAGAGGCGCTGTTGAGTAATCCAATTAGGTGGAGTTTTCTGATTTGGTGCAGCCCAAGCGAACTTTGGTCCAGCTTCGAGAAAGTCATTAAAAGTCCCCATTCAAACATGTCATCATACAGATAATGCAGAATAGGCCTAAGAAGTGGCAGTTTTAGTTTTTTTTTTTTTTTTTTTTTTTTTTATAATATCCAATTATTATAAATTATTTACTTTCATGGTTTGGAGATGAAGATGGATTTTAGTCCCATTTTCCACAGCTTTATGAACACCATATAGTAAATGTGGCTTAAATGGAAAATGAGATGTGGTGGATGGATTGTCCTTAAAGCTTTTAAGCTTGATTACTCTGAGTAAAGCGTTTTAATTTTGCAGCTCTGTTGCTTTTGGAAAAAAAAATTAACTTAGAGCTTTACTGGACTTATTAACCTTCTAGCTCAAGTGCATTTTTCATTTAAGACCTTACATTCCAGGTTGGCGTCTACACAGGTGCTGTTTAATAGAAACAGTACAAGCATTCCAGGGGATCACTTTGAACACCAACTTGGCACAAGCCACTACTTCCACAGCTTGTTGCACGGCTGTTGAGCCTTAGTTTCAGTACAGTCAATAAAACAAGCCTCTGGCATAACCTGAAAGGTCACTGAAAGTATGAAAGCAACCAATTTGAACTGTAACAAATTAATGTCTTTCCATTGTTATGCTTGCTTAGGCGTGTTAACTTTTGTTGCAATTGAAAAATGTGTGCCACAAGTGCGAAAGAAGTACTGTAAGTCGTTTGATTGGTCCAAGATTTTTTCTGTCATTTAGATGGGCCTGCTTGTGGATGTTTCAACATGCACTTTCTTGATTTCAAGTTGTGGTGTGTTTACATAGGCAGTATGGTAAACAAGTGGTTTGCTTATCCGCCTCGCAGTCAGGATGTCTTGGGTTCGTTACTCAGCTCTAAAAATCCTGTGTGGAATTTGCATTCCCCTTGTGCTTACTTCAAGCTCATGAAAAATTAATTGCCAACCCCTGTTTTAAATGTATTTATTTTGGTCTTACTACACAAAGAACAGTCGGAATTGTAGTTTACTTTAATACATAATACTTAGTGACATTTTTTGATCTTGCACTCCACAAATATATATAAAAAACTAAAACTAATTAAAAATTCAAACCAAAAGGTAGCATTGCAAAAAAAAAAAAAACTGAATTTAGAAAAGTTAAAACAAAATAAGGCTTACCTATAATGATAAATCGTGCATGGGTTTTGACCAAGTACTCCGGTTTCTTACCACATTTGAAAAACATAGAAGCTGAAGACCTTGAATTGTCCATAGATGTGAATGTGAATGTCTGTTTATTTATAGGCATAGAAAATGTATGAATGGTATCTTTGCATCAAATGTATATCGGAAGGAAATGATGTGCATCCTCGACGTCGTGCAGGAAGAAGCCGTCCGGAAAACTGTTGTACTCACAGGATGTGCCTCGGGGAATGGTACAATAGAACGGACTCATGTGAAATGGAAGGATGGCATCACCACTAAACAAAGTGCCATGGACTGTTTAAGTTATCAGGCAGCCATTATGACGTCAAGGTGAATCATTCAGCCTTTCGCTATCAAGTTAATGTTCATTTACATTTGGAAAGGATCAAATAAATGGTATGCAGTGAAAGGTCACAAGTGGTTGTGGATTTTGTTTTCTTTTTCTAACACTGTTGTAGCTATGTCTTTGTTTTTTTTTGTTTTTTTTTTTTTTTACAAAGAGCTCACAGTACAGCAGCACAAAGGCCACACCTCTGACGGGTTGCCACTTGCGATGACAAGCATTTTGGCGCATGCAAGTTAATATGATTGCGCCCTTACACAGGAAAACAACAGAAAGTCAAGCTTCATTTTTTTAGATGGTATCAAAAAGGCTCTCAGGATCACAAAATTAATTGTTTACTCATTTGGGCTCTTCTCGGACTAAAAGGCAGGTTAGACATACGTAATCTGGAATCCTTCCACACTTTCATGATACTGTGACTGGTACATGGCTGACATACATTCCACACTAACAACAGCCTTCACAGTGTGATCTGGTTTCACATATAATTTTTTTTAAATCCTTTCCAATGAAAAAGTTCATTTTATCTAGTTAAACACCTCCAAATTCATCTGGGGACTGGCTAGTCACATGACATCACATCACATCCCCTAACAGTACACTGGATTCTATCTTAGAAATACCAGATATTGTGGAAAAGCAATCCTGTGTGGAATTTGTTATGGCCTCTCCAAATGACACATTTACAAGTTACAAGTGCCACTGTTTCCTTTTTATGAAGAGGCTACTCAAAATTCTAAGTTGTCTGGTTTTTGAGTGTTTTGTTGTAATGCTGCTTTATACAATTTTTCCATCGCATGTGAAAAGCTTTGGATTTTCTTCTAAAGGAAAAAGACCAACATGTCCAACCTCATATGATTAGAATGAATTTTGTGTGCGTGCTGTGTGTGGAGTTTGAAACCATTTTCTCACATGACGCATATTCGGATCTGATCACTATTGTGCAGTGTAAATGCAATTTGAAGAATCACATTTATGTTGAGATGCATGTAGTTGTGTAACCCCATCAGATCAAGTTGCAACTTGTTTGCCTGTCTCCTTTTTAATCCTGAAGATCCCAAACCTAAAGAGTTGGGTTTTCTTTCCCTCAATGACTTCACACGTAATAAATGTTGAGCCGTGGCAAAGGGCTGCACTCTAAATTGATGAACCGTTTTAACATTGATTTATTTTTTTGTTGTTCAAACTTCACCTAGCTCACGTCAGGTTCAAAGTGTCTCTTTCAGCACTGCAGGTTTGTATTAATTGGTAGTGTGAAGATCAGTCATCACCAATATTTAATACTGGCTGGTTTGGATTATTTGACTCTGTTGTAGCAGTTGGCAGGTCGGTCTCACATTTAAAAAAAAAAAATCTCAGCTCGGTCCTTCCTGTGTGGAGTTTGCATGTCCTCCCTGTGCTTGCACAGATTTTCTGTGTGTACTCTGGCTGCCTCCCACATTCCAACAGCTTAAATTAAGAACTCCAAATTGCCCGTACACAGTCAATTCTGTAGAGTACATTTTACAAAAAAAAAGACGAGATTTGGTCCCAATCTAAACAGAGTAAAATTTACACATGGAAGAAAATACATTTTACTCAAAGTAGTGGATTAATTGTGCTCATAATATAGTCGTTTTAGAGTAAAATGTACTCGAGGAAATTTACTGAGTAGGTGTGAACCTGAGTGTGAATGATTGTTTGTCTACACGTGCTGTGCGACCGGCTGGCAAACAGTTCAGGAATGCATTCCACATCTCGCCCAAAGTCAGCGTGGATCATCCATGTCCTTAAGTGCAATAGAAAATGTATGGATGGACTCTGGACTCATTAATCATTGTCAGAATTCCACTTTCTTCGTCTGTCTATTTGAGCATAACCTCCTCTCCTCGAGGAGACCTCCTGTGCTGCTGCATGGAAGGCTTCACCCAGTAATGAATCTCACAGCTGCTGTGCTTCCTTTTCTCTTTTGTTTTCCAAAGTCACATTTCCGACTGTTGCTCTCAAAAGCACCAGAAATACGTCATTCACTGACAGCCTTCTTTCAGTTCTTTACTATACTTTCCGTAAAATGACAACAGTATGGATCCCCTGACCAAAGATGCCCAAACCGAATATTTTCATCACGCTGGCCTTAAAGGGAGAAGTCAACCCCCAAATTTTCTTTACAATAATTTGTTCTATGCGCTCCCACAATAGTCTAAAGAAGTCATTCTGGTTAATATTGCAAATATGGAATATGAATGAAGTAGTCCAAATGGTGAACGCTGCCCTGTGGTGTGTCGTGCAACAACTATACAGTATGTGAACAGTTTGAACATTCGTTTTAGTCTATCTGTGTGTTTTGGGTAGTGTTTGAAAGAAACAATGAGGAATTGTCTTCAAATCTCCACTTCAGGAGATAGCTTACATCACTTCCTTTCCTTTAGTTACATCATAGTCCATCACAAGTCATGTCTATTTTAGGTCTGAGTTTGGAGCAAACTTCACACACAATATTACAACATTTGGTTTCTCCCTCGATCTCCTTCTATGGTTTAAACTAATCATGCAGACAAGGTCTCTAATTCCTTGAATTCCAACTTTCAGGATATTTAATCAGAGAATCATTATCCTGAGTCACTTATGGAATTCTGGTAATGGCCATTGTTGTAATTGTTTATGTTGCGTGAAAAGAAAGCAAGATTCAAAGTTGACAGAGCACTTAAACACCGTGTGCTATTCCTGTGTGTTGTTTAGACTAACACATTCACACAAACATCAACACACATGGTATTTATTCATAGGGCAATAGAAGTCATCTCAACAATCCTTCTCATTCAGCCCATTGTTATCGGTTGAAGATCTTTGCCATTTGCTTGTGATGTACACCAAGGCACGGGTGACACACGCTTTTTTGCAGGCTTCTGAAAGGTTGGCATGTTTTATCTAAAGAGAACGCTGTAAGCTATCGTTTCTAGTGTCTGTCTTACTGCATGTATGTGTCATTAAGGTTGTGAACTTGTGAGTATACAGTATAGGCACTGTACAATTCAAAAAGTGCTGCATTGGCTTCAGTTGGTGGGTTTGATCGTCACCCCTCGTTAATTAATTGCTCTTGTACGAAAGCATGCATTTGTGTACACTAAAGCTACCATGGTAACGGCCATTCTCTCAATGTGATTCAAATTCACTTTCTGGGGGAGGAAAAGAAAAACCCCACATGGTTTGGATTTTACTGCACACGTAGCATGAACACAGTAAATGTAGCTCCTTTGTGACAATGAAAAAGAGTTTGTAGACACAGCCCTGCTGAACATACGCACAGGAGGAAAGAAACATGAAGTAATGCAGTTATTATCAAATGTATACTTTGGGGGAGGGGAGGTTAGCTCTTTAGAAAACAGGGAATAAATGCAGAAGGGAAACGTATGAATACAAATCTTCATAAATGCTCACTAATATATCAATATTCATATATGTTAGTCTCATATTGCTGCAACTATTATTTTAATAATGATCATTTAATCTGTTCATTGTTTTGGCGATTAATTAATGAGTGGGATTAAAACGTGATCATTTCCAACCCTTATTTAAAAACAGGACACTATTTCAAATTGACAGTGCAGAAATCAAACAGATTATGGGTTCAGACACACTTTGTATTTTGCCAGATGTTTAAGAAGCCAGCAGTTTGGGCCTTGCGTTTATCAGTCGACTGATCAAAACATGAGCAGCATTCACGAGACTCACAAGGGGAGAGACAGACAGAAAGAAAAAAGGGGGAGACTGACTGAGACAGACAGCGAGAGACGGAAAAAAAGACTGACAAAGAGAAACAGAGAGAGACGGGAGAAGGTAGAAAGGGGAAATGGGGGAGGGACGGGGGGGGAGAGAGAGAGAGAGAGAGAGAGAGAGAGAGAGAGAGAGAGAAAGAGAGATAGAGCGAGGGGGGGGCGGTGCGGTGCTCAGTTGACCCCCTGCACTTCTTCTCGGTGTTAGCTCTCAATAATCGTCGTGTACATGCCTAAAGGGTGACAATAAACTGGTTTAACTAGGTGACAGGAAAAAAAAAGGATGTGTCAGAACACTTTCGGCAGGTCCCAGTTGTATTAGAGGCGCGACTGGAGACGCAGCGACCGGAAACAAGGCCAAATGGGCCGTTTCGAGCTCAAACGACAAGAACGGTGACGATGACTTGACGTGAACGAGCTCGGTAAGTTAACCGAATTACGCCAGACGTGCATGTTTTGTTAATGTGTGAATGTGTATGTGTATTGTGACATCACGGAGTGTCACATATGGCCCAAAACATTTTTGTCAAGTATGCTATGTTTTTACCTGTTAGTCGTCACAACAGCTGGGTGACAGAAACTTCTGAACATGGAGCCTTGCGAGCGCCATTAGCTCGTCGCTTAATATTCTCCCATTTCTGTCGATTGTTCTTATTTTCATGCTTTCCAGTGCGTGTTTGTGGCTTATGCTAAAATGTGGTTTTCGTAAACTCCAGAACGGAGACTCGTGTTTTTGGCCAGAGGGAGGAGCCGCACCCATAACTTTCTACAGTACTGTCCTGGAATTTCACCTCCCCTCATTCATTTGTATTTGACCCCCACTTTCAGGAAAATAGGGTGAAGAAACTTGGTGTAATGTTCCCAGATTTTTCTCTTTCCAATTTGAAAATATGTTGTTGAGTGTTGAAATAAATACCATATTACTATGTTGTGCAAACGATAAGGGAGTGTACTACTTTGTATTATCTGGAATCAGTGTGATTAGACTAGACACTGTACAGTTCTAAAGCGATATCTGATGTAAACACTGTCCACTAGCATTCAATTACATTGACAATTGATCTCTTCATGCGTGTCTTTTATTTATTGGTGTCACATTCCAAAATGGCCTCTGTAGACAGATGCAAAAGCATACGTTTGTCTTCTTTTTTTTTTTTACATTTATTATTATTTTTTTAATTTTTAAAGTTTTTAATTTGTAGTTTTGTTTTGGCCCATATGTATTTAGATGTCGCTGAAGGTGTCGTGATACACTCGCCTGACTTGTTGTGTGTGGCAGTGTGGGATCACTTCCCTCTGAGCGACGGAGTGGATGTGCGTGTGAATGTTTTTTTTGTCTCTATATGTGCCCTGCGACTGACTGGTGACCAGTTCGGGCAGTCATCCACCTTCTGCCCAAAATCAGCTGGGATAGACTCGAGCAACCCCCTGCAACCCTGTTCAGGAAGAGTGGTGTTGAGAATGGATGGATGGATGTATTGAGATGTGAGGGCTCTAATTTATCACGGTTTCTTTTGTCCTCATCATCTCCTTAGCCAGCAATATGGCACGTCGCTCTCAATGTTCCTCTGCTGGGGATAATCCCCTGCACCCTAACTACCTTCCTCCTCACTATCGGGAAGAGTACCGTCTGGCAATCGATGCACTGATTGAGGAAGAGCTGGAAGGATATTATGAGTTTCTCCAAAAAGCAGATGTGGTGGATTTCCTGTCGGCACCTGAGATCCAGTATATTCAGAGCTCAGCCCAGCTTCCTCAGCAGACCACCTGCCAAGAGCAAACTTTTCAAGAGAGTGGAGGAGACAGCTCCTCGGATACATACTGGCCAATCCATTCGGACCTAGATGCCCCCGGCCTGGATCTTGGCTGGCCTCAGCTGCATCTTTTTGGTGGCCCCACGGAGGTCACCACGTTGGTGAACCCGCCTGAGCCTGACATGCCGAGTATCAAGGAGCAGGCCCGGCGACTTATCAAGAACGCTCAGCAGGTCGTTCTTTGTTCTCAAATAGCAGCAGACTCTATGACCCTCACAGTGTTGTCACACTTTCATATGTGTTTTTGTCTTCACAGGTGATTGCCATAGTGATGGACATGTTTACCGATGTTGACATATTTGCTGATATTTTAAATGCTGCCATGAGACACGTTGCCGTCTATATTCTTTTAGACGAGCAGAACGTAGATCATTTCATGAACATGGTGTCCAACTGCAGAGTAAATCTACAGAGTATCCAAGTGAGTCTTTTACAAGTTGCACAATATACATTTTACTCAAGGCATTTTTTTACCTATCCTGTTGTCCTAGCTAATTAACATATTTTGTCATCACATCTCCCCTTAACACTTGGGTTTACCATTCATTTACAATTTTTTTAATCTTTAGTGCTATTCTCAGGGCCCAGACTGCCAATAGACGTACGGTTAATTTTGCTGAACTGACTTGCATGTCAGAATGCTCATTAAATCCTCTTGAATGCACTTGTTTTGGGAAGCAAAGAATCAATCAGTGATTTATTTGTAGCAATTGCCATTGTGTTTTCTAAAGTACAAGAGAACCTCGACAGTTCACACAGTTAAAAAAAAAAAGGTACAGATTTAACACATGGACCTCTCCTTCAACAATGTAACAAAGGTCTGCTTATGACAGAGCAAGGAGCACAATTAGGGTTGTCAGTCCTGTAACAATAGCAAAGCAGGAACAAGTTGTCAAAATAACTCATTGAGCCGTAGTCATGTGTTGAGTAAGCTAGTGTATGCTCTTCTTACGTAAATATCTACCAATATACCTATGTAAATAGATAATCTTCTATTGATTCGCAAAGAGGAAATTAAAGTGATAAAGCAGTACAAGGTAGAGCAGTACACAGGTACAAATGACCAAAACAATGATGACATTAGCGTTATTTATTTATAGGGCTGTTGATTAGTTTATGGATTATTTCACTGAGTAATTGAAAAATCGGATAACATTTTATTTTTGCATTGAAGCGTATTACAAAACAATTTTTTTCACTGATTACTGTTTATTGACCAAATATTTTTATTTGGTATAGTTTAGTTAAAACAACAGCAATAACAACAACAACAACAACTAAATGACAGTTAAACAGTGACACATGAGAGGGTTTGATGCAGTGCTCACCAATCTTTTTGAAATTGAATCGGTTATTGGTCCGGTCATTGTTTTCTAAAGTAAAAGCAGATTTCTGTACATGTAATCAAAGAGCACTTTCTGTTGATCGGCTGAAATCAGGGGATTTGGATCATTGTAAATGAAACAATGTCCCTCGCTAATTACTCACTAATTGAAATAGTTCTCAATTAATGTGATAATTAGTTGGCTGTCGATTAATCCATTAACTTTGACACATGTACTTATTTACAATAACTTGTTTTGTTTTGCATAAATACGTTAAATGGACAGCAAACATTCATCCAGTTTCTAAACCGCTTATCCTCACAAGGGTTGCTTGCGTGCTGGACCCTACTGCAGCTGTCTTCGGGGTATACCCTGAACTGGTTGCCTGCCAATCGCAGGGCACACACATGCAAACAACCATTCGTGGTCACACTCACACCTAACGACAATTTAGACTGTTCCATCAACCTGCCATGCATGTTTTTGGAATGTGGGAGAACCTGGGGAAAACCCACACAGGCACGGGGAGAACATGCAAACTCCACACAGGAAGGCTGGAGCCGGAATCAAACCCTACACCTCTGTACTGTTAGGCCAATGTGCTAACCAGTCGACACCGGGTCGCCTTACAGCAAACATAAAAAGTCTAAACACCCCCATTCAAATGACAGGTTTTTGTGATGTCATAAATGATAACAAGGGAAATCATTTGCAAACCTTTTCCACCAAGAATGGTACCTCTAAACTGTCCAACAAATTGAATACAATTCTAAGCTTTTCGAGCGTGTAAGTAAAATAAGCAACTAAAATAACTGTCCGTAGCCTCTTAAAACTGGAGCTGCAGCTGTGTTCAAAATTAAACAATCACATTCAAACTCATTTAAATGCAAATCAGAACACTTTTGCCACCTTCTGATAACCCCCTCAAAAACTTCAGATGTTCTCGTAGGCGATTCCTGATGTCTTTTTAGTCACATCTTACAAACCAAGGACCACAGAGAGCTGCCATAGCAACCGGGAGATCAAAAGTATCAGTTAGGAAAAGGGGACAAAATTTTTTTTAAGGCATTAAATATGTCCTGGAACACAGTAAAGACCATGGCACAACAGTGATATTACCAAGAACTGGACGTCCTTCCAAAATTAAAGACGAGACGAAAACTTTTCAGGGAGGGTACAACGAGGCCGATAGCAACATTGTAGGAACTTTAATGCAAGAATTTCTGATTATAACTTGTTATTTAGTACATGTGGTAACATCTCCCTTCTTCTTCATATGTCTGTGCTAAGCAGTTGAGTAGAACGACACGATAGCAAGATGGAAGCCTTATCTTACAAAGTTAAAAGTCAAAGCCCGATTCAGAGTTCCAAAACGCATGTGGGTACCGGTAAATGTATTATCGTCTGATGAAATCAAGGTTGAAGTTTTCAGCCAAAATTCCATAAAGGATGATTGGCGGAAAGACAGCACTACTCATCACAACACAAAACACACACGCAGTACCTTTCGTGAAACATGGTACTGTATTGGCAGCATCATGCTTTATGGATGTTCCTTAGCTGGAATTGGGGCTTTAGTCAAGGTGGAACGAATTATAAAAAGTTCAAAATACCGGTCAATGTTAGTATAAGGCTTCTGCTAGAAAGCCAGAGATTAAGAGGAACTTTCAGCATGATGATGACCCAAATCAGAGATGCCTTTATGTGGGCAGCACAGTGGATGACTGGTTAGCACGTCTACTGCACAGGTCCAGGGTTCGAATCCGGGCCCCACTCTTCCTCTGTGGAGTTTGCATGTTCTCTCCGTGCCTGCATGGGTTTTCTTTGGTATTCCGTTTTCCTCCCTCATTCCAAAAACATGCATGGTAGGTTAATTGGACACTCTTTATTATTCCTGAGTGTGATTGTGAGTGTGAATGGTTGTTTGTCTATGTGTGCCCTGCGATTGGCTGGCACCAGTTCAGGGTGTACCCCGCCTACTGCCCAAAAGACAGCTGGGATAAGATCCAGCACACCCGCATCCCTCATGAGGATAGTTTCATATTACTCAATGTTACTTTTTTTTTTAAGCAACATAGTTAGTGTGACACGCACACATACACGTAGCTGCGTGGACTCTTCATTTTATCCTGCACAAGCCTATAAATAATTATGTAAATGTGTTTTTAACCATTAAATCAATGTCGAACAGAGGAATCCCTCTTTCTATGGTAATGCTTACATGGGCCATTTAACCAAATTAGTTCCATTTGCATCCCCAGGCAATTCCATTAAAATACATTTTTATAAACACACATTGATGTTCTTTATTTGGTATAAATTTAGCATTCAATTAGTGTAAAAGTCATCACTATGGTTCGGGGTATTTGCAAAAAAAAAAAAAAAAAAAAAACAACCTTAAGGGCAGAAATAAAACAGGTTTTACTTTTCAGTGCAGTTCAGTTTTGCTCAGGTGAACTTGTGAAGTAGTCATTGTTTGTGCAGTACTGTACTTTATATATTTGGAAGAATAATGCGATATTGCCAGACTGCTTTAATTTTGACATTAATACTCCAATAACTCTTACAGTTTCTACGTGTAAGAACTGTATCGGGCATCACTTATCACTGCCGCTCAGGGAAATCCTTCAAAGGACAGATGATGGATCGCTTCTTGCTGACAGACTGCAGGGCCGTACTGAGTGGGAACTACAGGTAATGTTCCTACACACTACGGACAGTTAAACAAGAAATTAGATGTTCATATTTCATTAAAATTAAGCGTGAAAGACTGAACTTTTTAAAATAGATTTTCATTGTTTTTCTCCAGCTTCATGTGGTCTTTTGAGAAACTACATCGTTGTATGGCACACCTTTTCCTCGGACAGCTTGTATCGACTTTTGATGAAGAGTTTCGGATCCTCTTTGCTCAGTCACAACCATTCTTGACTGATGCGCCTTCCGCGACGGAAGACATCGGCCTTTTACAAAAGAGGCAATACCCAAGTAAAATAACTTCACTCATGTACAGAGAACCCAGAAAGTTGGTACCGATGGACATGTCTCATACAGAGGATTGGATGAAGCCATCATTTGATGAACAAATGGAACCTGACTGGAGAATGTTGCACCTGAAAAGGGGCGGATCTTTCCATGGTCCTGCTGATTTGTACAGTCGATTTCCATCACAGCAGTCAGGAACGGAGCAGCAAAGTCACTCCAAGTTTCCCATGATGGAAAACCCTGCTTTGAAACGCCACATTTTTGCTGAAGGTGTTCATGGCAGGTACAATTACCCATTCACGACTCAACCCACAGCAGACTTTGAGGCCCGGGGAAGGCTGTTTCACAGGGGGCAACAGAAAAATGTTGGGCCGGGTCCTGAAGTCGATTACAAGGGCCCTGAGAAATTCTGGAGCCAAAACTATCGTGCTGCAGATCAGTACTCTGAATCGGGTTTACCACAAGAGATGCAGCCATTTGATAACTTTGACCCTGTGCTTAACTATTTATCATCCACCAAGAATGTGGACTTTGAGCAGGTCTCAGAGAAATCACAACCTGCTGCAGATTTGCCTTTAAGTTTATCTCAGCCCACTGGAGATGACAAGCAGTTTTTCCAAGAGCCGAACACTGACCGCAAAGACCCCATGGTCAAGCGGGGTTTAAGGAACTGGAGAATTAACTCCTACCTCAGTGCATATGATAATCCAGGAGATGAAGGGCTGCCATTGATGCCACCCCAGGCAGGAGATCCTTTTGAGGACCCAGCTAACCCCCTACAGTTAACAGTACCCGTCACAGAATTCTCAATTTCTAAAATTCCAAATGTCAGAGAGTTTAAGATACCTGCCATTCCGAGAGTAAGTCAGTTGCCATCTTATGCCAAAGCTTTTGTACAGGAATCCGAGCAGTCAACTAAATTGCCACAAGAAAGTACTACTGTGCCAGCTGACAACAAAACAACACCAACGCCCTCAGAATCATCGTCAACAACTGAAGGGGAGAAACTAGAAGAGGGAGAACAAAAGGAACCTAACACTGCTGTGCGAAAGGATGAGTCATTCAGGAGAAAATACAATGCAGCAATGCCAAGAAGCTCGAGGTTAAGATCATCTCTGATATTCAACTCTTTAGAGCAGCATACAGCAGGGCAACGAGATGACGAAAGTGGCAAAAATGAGACTGAGCAGGCGAAACTACCTTTTGGTTCTCCCGTTTTGGGACGAAGAAGGTCAGCTGCAAGAGAATCTTTTGGATGGACTCGTTACTTGAAATCATTTGATAGCTCTGTGCCTGAAGCCTCCAAACAAGAAGGAAGCAGTAAAGCAGAGGATAAAGATCCATCCAAGGTAGAATCCAAGAATTCCTCAGAAAATCTTGAGGTACAAGAACTATTAAAACATCCAGATACTGAACAAGTAAAAGTATCTCCAGCACCATCCAGATTGAAGCGGTCTGACTCTGATATGGCAAAAACCGATCAAGCACCCATGTCTTCGGCAAACAATCTGTCCTCTGTTGATATGAGCGATCCCGATAAGAGACTCATGTTTTTCAAAGAGCTGGCAGCAAAACGCAAAGCTGCTAAAGCTGCAGAAGATGAAAAGAGAACAGCGAAGACTGTAATGAAGTCTCCAACAGATCTCGATGGTGTTAATGTGGAAAAGCAGGACACTGTACCCCTTGAGGGCGGGAAAGGTGATATGACTTCACAAATGTCAATTTCGTTATCATCAAGTGTCACTACAAAGGATTTAAATAAAACAAAGTCCACAGAGCCAACTGTTGATGTCAGTGATGAGGCAAACAAGCAAGAGGGCCAGGTCAGTCATCTAACCGTTATGCCCCAAAGCTCAAAAAGTGAACCACCTAGAGTCTCAGCTGATTTGAAAAAGTTACAATTGGGGAACAGCCAAACGGCAGCATCTTTATCTGTCTCTGCAGAGGCTCGTGAGTGTGACTCGGAAGATCCAGAGCTTCACAAAGCTGCCTTGAGTGAGTGTAGCTCGAGTCAACAACCCATTTTAACAAAAGAAACACATGCTAATCTTCCATCGCTTGAGCGTACTACCGATAAAAGTCTATCACCGGTTCTCAAGTCTACCTCACATGAGTCCACATTATTTACTCCGAGTATGGGCGATTCAGCATCATCTTCTGTAGCTACCATGGTTACTTCTAACATCCAAACTCAAGACTCATCACAGGTCAAGACCAAGGTGGCATCTCTTCCTCTGGCATCACAGTCTAGCAAAGTAGCAAAACCAGATGCAAAAAGCTCTAACTCTGAACACCCGCCATTCATTAGTACTCATCAAACCACATCCAGCCCTCATGACTCTAACATCAACTCACCTAGCATGCAGTCCCTAACTTGTGCCAAAATACAGCTAGGGGAGTCGGCCATTGCCTCCCCACCTAGAGCCACCCAGTCTCCTGAGGAAAAATCATCATCTGCTTTTGAGCCATCTGGAGTTTTACAGGAAAATTATGCAGCTGGTCCAATTGTAGATGAGTCTGGATTGTCACCCATTGTCGTTCCTTCATCTCTCAGACAAGACAAAGGTGACATCCCAAGTCATCGCCTCAGCTCTTCACCACTTGAATCCAATATATTTGGTTTTCAAAGTCATTCTAAATTTGATCTAAAAGAATCCTATCTTCCACCCACACTCGAAGACCCATCTCAAGAGCCATTAACACAAGCAAATTGCCCTTCTGAACCTAACCCAGAAGAATCTTTGGCTCCTGATGTTACTGATTTATGTTCATCTGTGTTGCATGGGTCCTCTGACTCCAACTTTTTAACCAATGGGAATCCAACTGACATAAACAAAATTACAATGCACCCTACCTCCATTGTCACATCTGTTTCGGCCGAGCCGGCTCTGCCGAACGTCAAGCTCCACTCTGATCAGTTTGAAGTCTACACAACAGAATTAGCTGCACCTCTTGCTAGCAATAGTCTGGGCTATCAAAAGGATGCCAGCAAAGATTCTACATCGCCTATGCATTGTGAAAATAAAACGGAGGACAGAGAAACTGCAAGTACAGTTAGCAAGAGTCCCGCACAGCAATCTGATTGGAGTGAAAGGATAAATGAAGCAGCAGGGCAAAATAAATGTTCAGGAGTGACAGCACAGGAAGGGGTACCATCATCACAACAATCCAAGCAGCCAAAGTCAAGCCAGTCTCGCTATCACTCATCAACCGCCGGTGTGCTCTCAAGCAGCAACCTCCGAGACGATACAAAGCTGCTGTTAGAACAAATTTCGGCCAGCAGCCAAAGCAGGAACGAGTCCACAAAGGAAGCACCAGTCACTGATGATGAGAAAGAAGATGAAGCTGACAAAAATGCCAAGAGGGAAAAAGAAAGAGAGATTGGGTCACTCAGCAGCAACGTGCCAAAGTCGTCTCAGGACCGTGACAAGCTGCTGGAGAAACTCCAAAGCATGAGGAAGGAGAGGAAAGTTTACAGTCGCTTTGATGTACGTTGAATTATTCATACAATATTTTTCCACACATGAAGTTTTTTGTTCACTTCTATAACAAGAACTCTTTCTTTCTCGCTTTCAGATGACTCCTTAACTGGGATCCAGAGAGAAAGCTGAGAGAAAAGATTAGAGACTGAAGTACAGCAGAAACCTGACATGCTGACTAAGACATTTAACAGTAACGACCAATAGGGTAGGATTTCTATTTGTCAATCAGTTTAGTCAGTGTAGGGGTGCGTTTGCTGACGGTTGACCGTGCACATGTACGTGATAAAATGTTTTAATGACACGGATGGTTAAAGTGCAATTTGTTACAACTGATAATTGGAGGTGCCCTACACAGTACTTGACATTTTACTGCAGTGGTGTCCACAGTACACACAATAGAGTTACTGTTTGCCCCGAATGGAAAACGCTACGGTTTTGCTGGCTTGTTTAGAATAGTGATCATAAGATCTGTGGTTTTATAACACAGGCTTCTTAAAAATACATAATGATGATGAAGTAAGACCATCAAGTTTACGACCAATTGGTTGGATGAAACTAGCTTTCCAAAATAGAAGTCAATGCTGTCCTTCTGAGCTATTTAGTCGTGGTGCATAAACAGAATTTGTTGTGAAGTATCTTCTGCCATCTGGTGGTTCTTTATGTAACTCCAGCGCCCCCAACCCTACATCTGCATTGTTGTTCTCATAACTTAGGTCAAAACAAAATGTTACCACATTGGTGACTTGTTGGAAGTGTGATGAAATGCCATATAAATGCCTCACTTATTTCAGCAACAGTTGATTGTGTTGTGTAAATGCCTGTTACTTCTGAACAAGTCAACTCATGTCTGTCTTGTTTTTCTCCTGAACTCATAAGGAGGCATTCGGGTAAAGTTAGAAAAAAATTCGGAGACTTCCAAACCTGCTTGCTATCTTAGAGTGAGTTTAGAAAATCAAATTACAATACCACTACCACTGGATATTTACCTTCATATATTTAGAACAGGTATTTAATACAATAATATTGATCAAACGTTGGAAACAAGAGGACCATAAGTGTGAAAGAAACAGCCACATCTTAAAGCTGATATTATCTTTGTTAACAAAATACAGTTTTTATTATCTTCCTTTAGTGTTGCTTTTTTTTTTTTAACTGTATTTAATCTAATAATGAAGGTATGCGTTAATGGAGCTCCATTTTATAAGAAACCAAGACAAACAAGTTACATAAAAAATATAGAATCTGTTCAGCGCGATGTGATTATCATGCCAACCTCTTTTGTGTGTGTGCGTTGCGATGGCTGAACAAATTTGGCACTTTGTTGGTGTATTTTTGCAGATTTTAAGTCATTGATGATGAAGTAAGACCATCAAGTTTACGACCAATTGGTTGGATGAAACTAGCTTTCCAAAATAGAAGTCAATGCTGTCCTTCTGAGCTATTTAGTCGTGGTGCATAAACAGAATTTGTTGTGAAGTATCTTCTGCCATCTGGTGGTTCTTTATGTAACTCCAGCGCCCCCAACCCTACATCTGCATTGTTGTTCTCATAACTTAGGTCAAAACAAAATGTTACCACATTGGTGACTTGTTGGAAGTGTGATGAAATGCCATATAAATGCCTCACTTATTTCAGCAACAGTTGATTGTGTTGTGTAAATGCCTGTTACTTCTGAACAAGTCAACTCATGTCTGTCTTGTTTTTCTCCTGAACTCATAAGGAGGCATTCGGGTAAAGTTAGAAAAAAATTCGGAGACTTCCAAACCTGCTTGCTATCTTAGAGTGAGTTTAGAAAATCAAATTACAATACCACTACCACTGGATATTTACCTTCATATATTTAGAACAGGTATTTAATACAATAATATTGATCAAACGTTGGAAACAAGAGGACCATAAGTGTGAAAGAAACAGCCACATCTTAAAGCTGATATTATCTTTGTTAACAAAATACAGTTTTTATTATCTTCCTTTAGTGTTGCTTTTTTTTTTTTTTAACTGTATTTAATCTAATAATGAAGGTATGCGTTAATGGAGCTCCATTTTATAAGAAACCAATACAAACAAGTTACATAAAAAATATAGAATCTGTTCAGCGCGATGTGATTATCATGCCAACCTCTTTTGTGTGTGTGCGTTGCGATGGCTGAACAAATTTGGCACTTTGTTGGTGTATTTTTGCAGATTTTAAGTCATCCATATTCCTTCCTGTATAAGCAATAAAAATACATTTTCCTGAAGGGACCTCAAAGCCATACCATGTACATTGATGAAGTTCATGTAGCAGTCAATGACAAACTGTTGTTTTATATTTTGTAAGTTTGAGAAACTGCTTTTGTGCCTTTGTATTCTTCTGAAATTGTGCCTCAACTATAAAATACGTAAGATGAAACAAAGAAAACTAACGAAATAGAATTATATTTTAGGTACATTTAATGGATGAACTGCTGAAAATAAAATGCTTTCAAAATGTTCATTTTGGATCTTTTTGATTAAGATGATAATCCTGAGTGAGTGCAGTGCTTAATGCATGTATTATAGCCGCCCTAAAGTAACAACACTGGTAGTAACCAGAATAGCATTGTGTTCATATAGTGGTGTACCTGTATCCTGTGTGTTGATGCTCCACTGATTGGTTGAATGTTATGCTTTTTGCAATTTCTAGCTCTTAGACAATTCCACAGAGCTGTCTGAAATCTGGGTATAATAAGATGAGTTTCTTTTGAAACAGCTCATTTTTGTTCAAAGTAGTAAAACATCAAAAGCTCAGCATTCAAATATTTCTTGACCCCTGAACGGTCACTTTTTCTTTTTTTTTTAATGTCGTCCACTCAGATAAATTAATTATGGCATAGTTTATTTTGCAGGATTTCATCTTTAATTTTATTTCAAACATACATTTTTTTTTTTTACAATTTTTGTATTCAGATTACTTACAATTAGCATAAATCTGTGAATTTCAAAACTAATGAAAGTGAATCAGTTAAGACGTATGAATCAAGCATAAAGATGGCAGGCTGTGACTTAACCAAGATTCTTGTCATTAAAATGTCTCAAATTGCTTTGCATTTGGGGTTGACGTCAATATTTCAGTGTGTCTGTGCTTCACATTTCCAGTAGGTCGCGGTATCGCAAGCCGTTTGTCAGCAGCATTTGAACTTGACAAGACGGATTTTTTCCAGCATGCCCGCCTGCATTTGTAAACGTTAAAAGAATTCTAACACTTTTGGTTGAAGCAAACTGTTTTCACGTTGATGTTACTTGTCTGTGTTCTCCTTCTGTGTGTGTTTTACTCACCTCTTGTGCATAGTGTTGTTGCACTGTAAACTAATTTGGTGTTCAGTTGAATGACTCCCCTGATCATTAAACTTCCTCATCGAAAGAAGTCGTGGGTATGCTATGAGCTACTGTTGGTTTATCTAATCAGCTCTCTTAGTGTGCCAAGGCAACCCTCACAAGTTTTTGTATAACTGATCTTTGCCGTAATATCAGAAATAAAGCATCCAGATCTTTTTTTTTTTATCCTACTATTTAGAATACATTTGCTGAGCACTGTTTTTTTGATGTAGAATAATTATAATTGCTGTCGCCTGCATGCATGACTTGGAGTCATTTTATAATGCCGCAATAAGACATTTCGGACCTGAGGGTTTAACTTGTAACGAGATATTTTACCTTACACTGGACTTACGTCAGACTTCTCTTGCAAAACCGAGGAAACGCGATTAAGCTCAATGAGAGTAAAATAGGCATCAAGTCACATGCTGCAGAGCGCTGCTTATGAAAGACACACTCTACTGTACTTCCTAATGAACAGTGGGTCTCTTGTGTGTGCATTGAGCTGCACCTTTGCACTAATCTTCTTTCCATTTTTCATGCTCCAGCCTGGAGTTTGTATCAGTCTTGACTTTGTCCAGATTTTGCCGAGTGGAAATCAGTTTTAATATAAAATGACTCCAAGGCCAAAGGGAGTTTACCACATCAGCGCATTCAGCTGGTATGCTTTTGTTGTAATGACTCTGGCTGCGAAGGATGGAGAGGAATTACCGCCTGGGATTTTTGTGTATGGGGGACCTTGGAAATACCTCACGTTTTTGAATTTAGTAAGTACAATATTGTTTAGTAGTCCAATATGATCGAAGGGGAGCGCATATTAAAAATCATATGACATCTTATTTGCTATATTTCAGTTACTGCAAATGTTATTCTTTGGACTGGCTGCGGTGAGCGATCTTCAGGACGAGAAAAATTCGAATAACACGCTGAACAGATGTCCGGATCTAATATTCTCTGTCTTTGCCTTCCCAGTGGGCATGGTGAGATATTTATTGAGAATAGTATTTTTTATATATATATAACAAATCAATATAACTTACATTAAGTCTCGTTTAGTTTGTTGTTGTTCTTTTTTGGGCTATATTTGCCTATGACAGAGAGTTGGTCTACCCTGCAACAATTGACACCTTCCTCCCTCCTTGGATCAACCATGCGATGGTCTGGAAAATGTGTATTTTCAGCACTTTATGACAATTGATGTGATTCATTTCCTTGTAGTTACTCGTTTCTCACCTGTTTTCTTAGCATACATTTGTCCTTCCTTTATTACTTGGAGAAATTCTGGTGCAGCCACACGCCTACCCACAAACAAAGAACGCACTTGCCACACTGGGATTAGTGGGCATCGGTTACCTATTCTGGTAAGTAAGCATAATATAGACTGAAATGATAACAAAGAACCAAACTGCTGTTGCATCAGCTTTAATTGACATCCATAACTTTGATCTTAGTTTTCTGCCCATGAAATTCAAGTTTATGTCCATGCATCTGGACGAGTCCAGAAAAAGTGTTTTATTTTACATGATATCAAACACACACGTATTGAGACAAAACACTGTTCGATGATCAAGTACAAAGGTGTCAAACTCAAGGTTCAGCAGCCGCAACTAACCCACCACATCTTTTTGTGTCCGACAAAAGTAAATAAGGTGGACTTCACATTTTTTATAAAGGGATTTTTTAAAAACATTTTGGCAGAACATTCATTCTAAATTAGCAGTTTTTCTTCACTTTTGACAGTAATGACGAGCATTTTTCCCCCACCGTATCTCCTCACACAAATGAACAATAATTTTGTATTAAAATATTTGTCCTATTTTCCATGACATCTGATTATTTCAAATTCAATTTGTTGTTAAAAATACATATAAGACATAACAATGCAGGTAATAATACGATTTTGACAGTCGTAACAGCCCACTGGGGGAAACTTTAACTACAATGTCGTCTGTGGAAAAAATAACAAAAAAACAAAAAATAAAACGGTGTCTCTGATTCATGGCAGTGAAAGCCCTTTGCTCCCTTTCCTCTTCAGGATTCTCTGGGTGTACTTCTCGGCAGGGATTTGGGTGTATCCCCTCCTTGGGCATTTCAGTGCTGTTGGTCTGCTGGGCTTCTTTTGTTTTAACATGTCTGTGGTGACCTTGCTCTACCTTCTTGGAGACAAACTCAACAGCAGCGTGTGGAAAAACCCACTTCATCAATACTGACAGATGAAAAATCTACAGGGCCCTGATCATTCCTAGACCTGAAAGTTTTTCCTTGTTTTTGTTTCAAAGGCAAAAAAAAACCCCAAACAAACACATTCTTTTCTATTGCTATACGCTGAATAACGTTCAAGAATAATTCTTTGCAAATGTTAAAGTTGAACATTACAGAAGTGCTAACAATTGCAATGTATGAAGGGAGTCCATGTCAGCACTTCCTTTTTAATACTGACTGTACCTTACAACTGTAATGGTCCAGTTTCATGTCAACATTGAAGTTTTTCCATTTAAGTGTAGACAAAACCTCAACAACGGCAAAAAAAAAAAAAAAAAGCCAAATAAAGCAAGTTCAAGAGACATCCTGTGTCTCCTGTTTTCTTGTCAACGGCAATCTTTTCCATCTATAAAATTATGGATTTAAACTGCAAAATCACTCTCTGTGCATGTCCAATCTCAGTGTAGGGCAATTCATGATGAAAGATTTTAGCCCGTGAAGGAAGGAACTGTGGTGACTCAAAGCACCAGTCTAAATGGTTGGAAGTAGTCAGCATTGAGTCATTCATTTCACCTTTCAGCACTGTTGTGTTCTTAAGTCAATGTGCACGTCTGGTCATGTCATCCGCCTTTGAGGTCTCTGTAGCCTTTAAGATGGTGGAGGTAGTTTGGATCTGCGTCCACCAGTCCAACTGAAAGGATCTTGGCCAGTAAATTGAGATCTCCCTCACTCAGGTCCTTCTGTTGATCACAAAAACATCAATTCTGTAATCTCTGTTATGAAAAGCACCTAGATCCTTTATTACGAGTACTGACCTTCTTGTTACCGATGGAGTCCGGTATCTGTGATTTTTGAGGTCCAGTTCCCTGTCCGAGATAACAATGATATTAAAACCTTAGCCACTCAACATTTGTAGCTGCAGGAAAGTAGTTACATTTGGTGCCCGTTCTCAGAATTCGACCACTTACAGAACATTGACGGTCACATTCAAGATCACTTGATCTAAATAAAAAAGCAAAACCAATTTAAATTTACTCACCTCTCTAAGTACTTTTGAGAAGCACATAATGATAACAAGAAGGCCGACAACAATCTGTGGGTTTAAAACAGAAATGCTGCAGTCAACATCACAAGTGTGAGATCTAATTAGACGGCAATATATACTGTACATATATATTTTTATTAACTTACCCCGAGAAAGTACAGCATTTCTCTTCTTGGTTGTGTGCTGAATTGTCAAGTCAGAAAGAAGTGTCTCCTGCTCTCAGTGGGTCCCACACTACTTGAAACACTGCTTGAAACAAATGAAAGAACCTACCCGACAGGATGTGCAACATTTTAAATTCTTTCAATTGTGTCAAGAATAAAAGTGCTTTTACGTAGGAAACTGCGTCACATAGGGTGTGGTTTGCATGCAAGTGTCAAGTTGTTTGCCCGCTGTAAATATTTTCCTTGTTGCCAAATATTGGATTGAGGAGAGGGGAAACCTGACCAATGATTTGACATTTTAAATACCACTGATGCAAATCTGGAATCCTCCCACTGTTTAATTAAAAGCATGCATGTTAGTAACTGAGAGTCTAAATTGGAGATAGGCGTTCATGTTTATGTGTGTTATCTGCACTTAGTTCAGTTAAGGGTGTACCCAGCATGTCACTTTTCAGTCAGTTTGGACAGGTTCAACCTCAGCTGTGAGCAGAAAATCATTTTTATTTATCTGGACCATTAGTATTAATGTCCACCTTGTACCAGTTTCATATATGCTTATATATAGCTACAGTATATCTATATCTATATTTATATTGCACTTACTGTATATTGAACTGTGTACAGCTCTCTTTATCTACATTTATTTTTGTGCTTGCAAACACTTTGTCTTTCTTTTTTCTCCCCCCCAAAATTGCTGCTGTAGACTGTAAATTTCCCCATTGTGGGACAAATAAAGGATATCTTAATTAATATATTTTTATTATTCTGTGTTCTATACATGACTTTATGCAGCTTCTTCAGTATAGCTAATTGTTTTTGTATATACTGTATATACTTTGATACTGTGTATGTATATATATATATGTGTGTGTGTGTGTGTGTGTGTGTGTGTGTGTGTGTGTGTGTGCGTGCAGGCAGGACCTCGCTTTAATAAATAGTAAATATTGTTCAATAAAAAGTAAATATTGTTATCGATTGTTATTTTCATATTTTTCAGTTTTGGCAAACACAGTCATTAAGTAAACAAGAGAAGTGGTAAGGCCATTCAAGTCTGGTCCATCACGGCAATTCTTAATGGACAACTTATTTCCTGCTCCAGTTCGTGTTGCTGCTGGGCGTGTTTTACCCCCCCCCCCCCCCCCTTTCCCCACATTAAAATTACCAACAGTTCCTTCACTTAGTCTCAACCACCGGTCACTTCACCTCTCGCCATTGACGCCTTTACATCGCGGAGAAAAGCCTGTTTTGAAAAACAAAAAGAGTTTGTGAGAATGAACAGATATATAGGGAGGAGAAAGTTAAAAAATGTCAAAAAATGAATACTCACTTTGTGGGAAAATATATTTGCCCGAAATCTGAATGCTTTTGAAACGTGACAACTTGTTACGTATTGATGTTAGTCATGTGCTTTTGGGAAGTTTTGACAGGACTGTATTTGCGTCTTTATTCTGTGACTATTGCCGGTAATCTGCTTCACGTTTCAATAGCGTTAACGAAATGCATGTGCATTTTTACTTTCATACAATCACGACTGCCCTGTGTGAATGTGTGTAAAATGTGTGTGAACATTAGAGTACAGTCATCAGCGCAAGTGAATCTCGCCTCGAACGTTGTCGACGCTTCGCGACATTTCTTCCCCATCGTCAAGTAAAGGGCACGTCAGTAACGGACCTACCGTGAGTTCGCCTTCAAATTAAAGGTACACACGTTTGCGCCCAACTATACGAGCAGCGTTAAAAATGCACCATAAGGACAAATACGAATTTCAGTCGTTTCTAATGACTTATCGATATCGGTTAGACGCGTAATTTTTAAGTCGACTGTTGTGTCTGGCTGATATCATCGACACGATGATTTCTGTATGCAAAGTATAATCGACAATGCTAGCTGTTAAATATGACTAACTTGACGCGAAGTACTCCTCCGGCAAGCCCCCACAGCAGTTGTTGACAGATAAGGGAAGATTATGTGAAGTGGAGCGGGGCAACTGTGTGAATCAACGTGTCTGTGACAACGTGATCTACACACCAATAGCGTCATCGGTGCAGTCTACAATTGGTAAGGTTGGCTGTGTGCTGCTTTTACCGTCTTGTTTTACAATGCAGCCACCACAAGGCATTTCGAGCCACGCTGTCTCCAAAAAACGGCTCGTGCAAGCCAAAAAGACGTCCAACTATCTGAACTGTAGAAACAGTGAGCTTGAGATACAAATCCTTTCGAAACCTCTTCTTTATGGATTTTAAGTCAAAAGATGGGAATGGGGTAATCTTGGCTATGGCTAATGGTGTAAGGCTATCGTGCTGAGGACATAAAAGTAAGAAAGCTAAAACAGTACGTAAAGAAAGCTCTAACGCTGCTGGCTGTTAGCATGTTTTTAGCTGTGTTGTATCCGTTCGAAAACGCTGACTCCCATAAAAATGCTTGACCAAATTACTAATGACTACAAATTTAGTTCATAACAAGGTAATTATTTGGTATGAGGCCGATATTGACAATGAGGCTTCACTTTAGTTTGAAATGTAAACCGGAAATGTCATAGTAGCTGTGGTGTGGTTGGCAGCTAGACGAGCAGAATTCCGACGGTATTCCTGTTTGTTCAGGATTATTTGTTACGTGGATAGCCTGGAGGTGGCACAAATTTATGTTGCTGCACACCACAGGTTTTCTTACCCGCGCCGACTTGTGTGTATTGTTCAGTACCTTGCTCAAGTGCACTTCGACATAGTCGCAAGTGCTTAGGACCGAACCAACAACCTTTCGGTTGGGAGGCAGCTACTCTCACCTGAGGCATGCTGCCATTCCGCCCCAAACAGTATAAATGTATCAATCTGGTTGATTTGTTTTTTCGACCTTAATTCTGCGCCCATTTATCTCTCATATTTGCACATAGGGCCCCCCTGGCTTCTTTAGCCACAAGGAAGGACCACAATGCTGTGTTGGGGCAATGCCTCCTATGGCCAGCTCGGTTTGGGGGGCATTGATGAAGAGATAGTAGTAGAGCCAAGGAAATGTGACTTCTTCCATGCGAAGCGAGTGCGCGATGTAGGCTGTGGACGCAAGCACACAGCCTTCGTGCTGGAGGATGGCACAGTATACACATGTGGCTGCAATGATCTTGGTCAACTGGGCCATGAGAAGTCCCGGAAGAAACCAGGTTAGTATTTTTATTTGAAAAATGTTCAGTCATTGTTGTGGAGTAGTGACCGTGAACCTGAACAGGGTCAGCGGTCATAGAATATGGATGGATGTTCAGTCTTTTTGTGAAAAGGTTCATCCAGTAAATATCTTGGTCCTCCATTAGAGCAGGTTGTGGCTCTGGATGCTCAGATCATAATTGCAGTGTCTTGTGGAGAGTCGCATACACTTGCCTTGAATGACAGCGGGCAGGTTTTCTCATGGGGCCTTGGCTCAGATGGGCAGCTGGGCTTAAACAACTTTGAAGAATGTGTTCGTGTGCCTAGGTACACTTTCATTGTTATGCTAATATGTTAGCCTATGTGCCAGTAATAATAAAAATGCATAAACATTGGTGTACTTTCTGTCTCCCTGGTGATGGCAGAAACATCAAGACTTTGACTGATGTTCAAATCACTCAGGTAGCCTGCGGGTACTGGCACTCACTAGCACTTTCAAAAGGTGAGGATGGGTTATACGCACAATTAGCACAACCACAATCTTTCTGACATGCTTATTTTGTCCCCCTCAGGGAGCCAGGTTTTCTCCTGGGGTCAAAATCGATATGGACAACTCGGCCTTGGAGTAAACGGGCAAAGCATTTCAACCCCTCAAATCATTCAGTCTCTGCTGGGCATTCCTTTTGCTCAGATATCAGCAGGTGGCGCTCACAGTTTCACCCTCACTCTCTCTGGAGCTGTGTTTGGTTGGGGCCGTAACAAGTTTGGTCAGCTTGGTCTCAATGACAGCAATGGTGAGGGAGGCTACTGGATGTTGATTCATTTGAAGCACCCACGCCCTCCACAATGTCCAACCAAGTTCATATTTGCATTTCATGAGCTGTAAATATTTGGTCTTGACAAGTGGTGGATCTGCATTTATTATGTAGTAATTTTTAAAACTAAAATTTTAAACAATTTTGTCAGAGAATTCATTTGCAGGACATTTTTAACATTTGTTTCTGTGTACGTTTGCGTGTACCGGTACTTTTTTGAGTTGTTCACTGTCAATATTCACAGTCATCACTCTTAGATTTTTGTTTTGTTTTTTTGTGTTTTTGTGTTTTTTTCCAGACCGGTGTTTTCCAACCCTGCTGAAGTCACTTAGATCGCAGAGAGTAATTTTTGTCTCCTGTGGAGAAGATCACACAGCAGCCCTAACCAAGTTAAGTTCTATTCTGCAGCTGGAGTTAAATATCATACTTTGGATCTGTAGATTTTTGTTTGTTAGCCACATATATATATTTTAGGGAAATTAAATAAAGTAATTAAAAAAATTGCAACTTTATTCTCGTAATCGTGATTTTTTTGGGAGGAGAGGCTCAGGGGGTCGGGATAAAGTTTCATCTCCCAACATTATATTTTTTTCCATACTTTTAATACTCTTTTCCGTTTGTGTGACTCCAACACAGTAGTCACTCATAATATTTCGATTTGTATTAGAGACAACTGCAGAGTTACCAAATTCAATAATGTAGTACTGTGAAAAGGAAGAGAAGTAAACATGATTGTAAAACTGATGTAGTTTCCATGTCGTTGGTCAAAATTTGATGTGGAAGCCTCCAACATCTTAATTTTGGTTTAAATGATCTCAAAATACACCATGAATCGCAATGTGGAGATAAGTGCAGCTATTCCGATGTGTGGTTCCTTTTTCCTATTACGACTGTCAATAACTTCATTAAAATCCCGTCCACTGTTGAATCATGTATTTTCTCTCGTTCTACCCCAACCCGATCCATCTTGATGTTTGTTAATACATCGTTAAGCACTTCTGTATGAGAAAGTTGAGAACTGGTGTTACTGATTCTACAGGAAGGGGGTGTCTTTACATTCGGAGCAGGAGGATATGGTCAGCTGGGGCACAATGCCACAAATCATGAAATCAACCCTCGGAAAGTGTTTGAGCTCATGGGAAATGTAGTCACACAGATTGCATGTGGAAGGTAAGACAGGTCTCTTGTGTTGAGAAAGTCCCGTTTTTCATACTCATTCAAGAGTTGTTTTGTTTTTTTTCTAAACATTTTGCAATTCAAGGCAGCACACGCTGGCTTTCACACCCTCATGCGGAAAGATGGACTCATTTGGTCTTGGTGGAAATGGACAGCTTGGTACACGCTCCAGCTGCAACAGGAAAAGCCCGGGCCCCGTCAAGGGTCCCTGGATACACTCTGTTGATTCAGATGATCAAGGTGAGACTCGGTAGAATTTGATCAATGACAGGAATATGTCGCTAACAGATTTTCAAGTCAGTAACCTCTTCCACATTTACCTTCACAGTCATGAATCAGAACTGTTGTATCAAGAAGATTTATGCCGGAGGAGACCAAAGCTTTGCTCACTATTGTAATACCAACGTAAGTTGTTATTTAGTAACAACTTAGATGGCCGTGGAATTATCCAGTGCAGCAAATGCTTTCTTTTTTTTGTTGTTGGGGTTGTTCTTGTAGAGCCTGCAAAACATTGATCATGTGACGACACCAGATGCCCAGCGAAGACTTTGTACTGTGAATGAGGAAACCATCCAAAGATGGCTGAACCATTCGCCCGGAAGAGTCCCGCTAGAAATCTCCAAGTAAAGTCTTCTCTTCACAACAGCGTCGGCTGTCTGTGTATTATAAAACAAATTGTACATGGTTTTGTCTTTTCGTCATTTAGAAGTGTCGGGGGTGGGCGTAGTCACACTAATTGTTTTCGTTTTGCGATTCCCTCAGTGAGATTGACCTGGTGTTCTCAACTGCGAGCTGCCTCAACGGGTCCTTTTTGTCTGTGAGGTAAGTAGACAAAAAGAAAGAGCACATTTGTGGAATTAATCCTTTTAGATGCGCGCTGAGCTGATGTCTGACAAGATGTTAACATTTCTTAAGATATGCACAGTTCTCCTTGTGGCATTATGCATAATGGTGGGAGTCACGCACGTTGGTTGTGCTGTGACATTAGATTTAGATTTTTCTCGAAAAGTTGATGTGACAGGTTTTAACTTTACCTTTCATCACTGATTTATTTTAGGTGAAACAGGTAGGGCTGTTTGGATTTGCATAGGAAGTCCTTTTTTTCTAGTTTATCGAGTCAAGCACGGTACACACGCAGGTTTTTAAAATGTGTTGTGTACTTAAACGACCAACACTGCACACTACAAACTGATCAAACTGTCATAATGCCAAAACTGACCTGTGAGATGCAGCATTGTGACACATACAAACTGTAAAATAGAAGAAAAGAAAGTAGAAATAACAGGATGGACTTACAGTATGCCTATCAATGGAATTTCAATTGGCCCCTCATAGCTGAAGCCAGAGGGCAGCCATCTTACGTTGCCATGGGTATTAACAGCTTGTTATATTTTCGCTGAAATCACTGTTATCAGTGTGTATTTTACGCTAGGAGCCCTGTCTGGGGGAATGGAAGCCTCTCTAAGAATGAACGTCATTGTTTGCATCTCGTGTTCAGAGTATGTTATCTCAGTATCGAGAATTGTGACTTGTTTCATTATCTCAGTATCGACTCGAGAATTGTGACTTGTTTTGCAGCGAACTTTGTCCTAATGGGCTTTGCTTTCATTTCATTGCTAGTCCATTTATAAATAAGTCTGAGTAGTAGTAGTAGTAACAGAAGAAGTGAGGCTAACTGCTAGCTGATCTGATGACTACATTGCAATTGCAAATGCTTCTGGCTTTTTTTTTTTCTGTTGTCTGTGAAGATCGAAGAAGAAAAAGAATAACTCAAACCCTAGCATAATGCTCAAATGTTGCCTGATTATTGATTTGTATGAACCTTGCTTTAGATTGATGACAAGGTATGTCAACGCAAGTATGAGCACATCTTGGAACCCATCCTGTCTTGGACTCCCCATTCTTATTCAGCTTGTATGTTGCGTTCTGTGTGAACAGGACTTCATGGTCACGTAGCTCCGGAATTTGCTTTTTGAAACTGGATCGATTCATTCACGTATCAATTGTGCATCTCTTGTCATCAAGTCATCCAGATCACTACAGTACCAGCAGTAAATGTTCAGGGATCGATATGAACATGGCCCGTCTCCTATTTCACAGACTGATTACACCAGACTACCCTGAGATTGCCCAACAGGTCAGTCATCAAATGAATTAACTGTGAAATGTTCCAAAGCTAACTTTTATACTTTTTTTTTGTCATTGTCAGATTGCTGCAAGTATGGAGAAGAATCTAATCCCCCGACTAAGCAACTCCCCTCCAGACATAGAAGCACTGAGACTCTACCTCACGCTTCCAGAATGCCCTCTCTTCAGTGATCCGAACAATTACGTGACTATCTCCATCCCATTTGCCAAATCACTGCTCAGCCTGAAAGAAGCGCCGCTTAAAGTGCTAGGTAGGAGGAAAGGCTGCAGACAGTTTGCTCAACGTTTAACTGTGTTTCCATCAAGCATGATGTTCAGTTCCGATCACCAAGGTTCATTTTGGGACTTGCAATTCTGGCTTATGTTTCCTCTGTTGAGCGGTTTACAAATGTTGACAACGGAAGCTTACTCAACTGATGTACCAAACCGTACCGGTTCGTGGATGCAGAGCCCATTCCACTTTTCTAACTTATTTGGTTTGCCTCAGGAAACTGGTGGTCCACGTTTGAGCCCCAAGTCTTCCAACGGCTGGTCGAGTTGTACAAAGAAGTGGTGGTGTACCTGCTCCAGATGCACAAGGTCGGAATCCCATCAACAGAGCAAAGAATTTTCACCTGTTTTTTGGACACGTCACTCCAGCTGCTCGAGATCCTTCACATGGTAAGAAATGCGGAAATACATCTTGTTTCATCTTGGCAGCGTTTGACTTCATATCAGTGGGGGAAATTGATTTGGTATGAGTAAATTGAGTTATATGAGCTCGGTTGCAGAACAGATTAAAGTCATATGCCAAGATATCAGTGCGCATCAAATTGTTGAAACATGTCCACTTTCATGTCCCCTCAGGTGAATGAGCGAGGCGGACACATTATACAGTATGACAAATTCTACATTCATGAGTTGGATGACTTGATAGACATCAGAAATGACTACATCACTTGGATTCAGAGACAAATGTACCCAGGGGTAAGTTTTTTTTTTTGTAGCATACTTTTTGAAATGTGAATGACATAAAAAAGGCATGTCAAGCTACTCTTGTTAACGTATCTGAATTTGTGAACCGATATGGTGCATTCAGTAATGCCTCTCTGTCCTCAGGGTCATGATGGTGTGGTGACTATGTGCAGGTATCCCTTTGTATTTGATGCCCCGGCAAAGACCACTCTGCTACAGACTGATGCGGTCTTACAAATGCAGGTAAAGAAAAGCTAATCGGGTTGTTGCTACAAAGAAGCTAATTGTTGCTTTCTGCATTGCTAGATGGCAGTGGATCAGGCTCAAATGCAAAACTTGAGTTCCATGTTCCTGCCTGCTGTGGAATCTGTAAACCCATGCCTCATCCTCATTGTCCGGAGGGAAAATATAGTTGGAGACACAATGGAAGTTCTCAGGAAGTCAAAGAATGTCGACTACAAGAAGCCGCTGAAGGTTTATTTGATAGTTATTCCATTACATTCAAATTAATCTGAAGACGTTTCTCGTTGTAAAACGTGTGCTCGTGACTATCCACGGCAGGTTGTCTTTGTGGGAGAAGAGGCAGTCGATGCAGGAGGTGTAAGAAAAGAGTTCTTCCTCCTGATTATGAAAGAGCTGTTGGATCCAAAGTATGGGATGTTCCGTTACCATGAGGAATCCAGGCTCCTCTGGTTTTCAAGCAAGGTATTGACCGAATGGAATAGCTAGTGGCTAGCTAACATATAAGCACACATGATGGCAGAACGAACTGGCCCTAAAGGATAATGAAAACTATTAGAATTGTTCATTTCATATTCATTTGTTATACTCATTCTAATTGCTCGAGGGGAAATTCAGTCAACATACTGACACATAAATTGAGAGAACCAGATCGCAGGCATGCAAAGAGATGACAGGAGTCAACCTTGAATGTTAATAAGAGCGTTTTATGTATAAATGTGTCAAAAAGCAAGTCATCCGTAAATGGCCGTCTGAACGGATGTGATAGTAAGTTATTGTTCCTTCCAGACTTTTGAGGACATCGAATTGTTTAGCCTCATCGGAGTCATATGCGGTCTCGCCATCTACAACCTCACCATTGTGGAGCTCAACTTCCCAGTGGCCTTGTACAAGAAGCTTCTGAAGAGGAATGCCACGTTAGATGACCTGAAGGAGCTCATGCCAGATGTGGGAAGGTAAGATCAGGGGTAATCATCCAAGGCGTCCATTGGAGTCACTCTTCTCCAAACGTATTGGAACAGTCAGGTCGATTCCTTTTTTTTACATTTTTTTTATTGCTGTATCATATCAAGGTGTGAATACCTGGAACAAGGTGTGAATACCTGGAAACAGTGAAAATTTTGATCTCTTTTCCCATATTCTTGAAACCCCAGTTGGCCTTTCTGTTTCAATACTTTGGGAGAGAGGCGTAAATGTTTCCCGTTTGTATTAGCTGTGTGTCAACTCATACTGAACTTTCTCATTATCTCCAAAGTACAGTTAAACCAGGGCTGATTGATTTTGAAAAATAATCTAATTGTGATTTAATAGGCAATTTATTTATTTTTTCCAGGTCCTCTTCCTGCGTATTTTTAACAATACAGTGGTACACCTACTTACGAACGTCTCTTCATGCAAAATTTTCAAGTTACGAAACGCCTCAACAGGAAAATATTGCCTCTAGTTACGAAAGAAATTTCAAGTTCCGAAAGATAAAAATACAGTATGGGCGGCTAGTCGCAAGTCCGAGTTTCCTGAACGCAACATACTAATAGCTGCTTTGACATTGGCTACTACCGAGCATCATCCTGGCATCCCATTGGCTAAGAGGGACGGCTACCATATGTGTCCATGTGTGTAGATAGATAAATAGATAGATATGTGTCTATGCTGCATCCTCGTCATTCGCCCCTCAGGTCATGAGGCGTTCTGATAGTTTTACGTAAATGTGAATCACCCAGAAAAAATGTTCACCAGTCGGGCGATTGCTCACTATGCTGATGTTTGCCTTGGACATTTTCGAAAGATTGTTAAAAGCCGACAAAAGCAAACGTTCTTGGATCAGTTCGTCACAAAACGCCAGGCAAAAACCACTTTTGAAAGAGAGAACATGAACAAAAGAGCGCAAAAAATGGTGAAGACAGTTAAATGTTAAATAACCATTTTTATTCTTTATGCAAGTCTTTGTTTTTTACATTGTGCACAACTCTCATTTATTGTGCAATAATCGAATTGTAACATGCATTTGTGACATATTTTGATGCATTTTTATGCTTGAGAAAACATTTACAGTATGTCTGAGTATTTTGGGCGGGCTTGGAATTTCCATGGAAAATGCGTCTCGACTTACAAAATTTTCTAGGTAAGAAGTTTCTTCTAGAACCAATTAATTTCGTAAGTAGAGGTACCACTGTACCAGCAATAAATTAATCTGTATTCCAGTAATCAATATCTGGTTTACTTGACATGAATGTGTCAGTCCTATAGGTTAGGCTTGCACTCAAATAAAGACAAATTAACCATTAATACGAAAGACTTTTTATCTAATTCACTTAGTTGATAACTTACTAAACTCTTAAGACTAGCAGTATTTTCAGGGTTCACGACAGTAACTGCACAAAAACACTAGCGAATAAGTGTGGCATAAACGTCAATTGTAAATCAGATTACAGCAATAATACAAACACACCTGTGGCTTTATCATTTTTTTTTCATGTTTCATCTTTCCAAATTGGAGCCTTTGCAATTTGAAAATTGCATTCTACTGTACTACAATGTTCATTTGAATGAAATTACTTGATTAGCCCTTATTTAGACATGAGACAGTAATCACACTTTTCATGCAATCTAATTGACAAACGTATTCATTTGCTGTGAACTAGGAGTCTCCAGCTGTTACTCGACTACCCTGAGGATGACCTTGAGGAAACCTTCTGCTTGAACTTCACAGTAAGTGCGCTTATCCTTGTGTAACCTCAAATGTAGAAATTAAGCAGTGATGTTTCAATCATGCCATACCTTTCTTTCAATCCTTTGTTTGCATTTTATTCCTATCTTGCATACAACCACCAAGGAACAGAAAACATTACCCACTGAACATTAACACACAAGTAATTGGGAATTACCTTTTGTGTGTAGTATGTATTACCGATAAATCAATGAGAACTTTTTTTTTTGTTCTAATTTTCAGATCACAGAGGAAAACTACGGTGCTACAGAGGTGTTGGAACTCATACCGAATGGTGAAAACATTAACGTGAATAAATCCAACAGGTAAACTGGTTCAGCTTGTATTGATATTGTTTGTCCCAGTAAAATGACTCTCACAACTGACCAGGAAGTGTAACCATTTCTGTGTCCAGGCAGGACTTCGTCAATGCATACGTAGACTACACATTCAACACATCAGTCGCCCCACTATTTGAATGCTTCTATGCAGGCTTCCACAAGGTTTGTGGAGGCAAAGTTCTGGAGCTGTTCCAGCCCAATGAACTGCAAGCCATGGTGATTGGCAACACCAACTATGACTGGACTGAACTTGAAAAGGTTTTGCATCATTTGGCCATTCATACATTTGTGATGTATAGCTTGGAAAAAAACATATTTAATACAATTACCTGGATGTGGTAACTCGCAAAATGAAATATTTTCTGTGAAATTCTTTCCTGGTGTGAATTTTCCAACTCTTACGTCTTTTTATTTTTCTCTCAGAGCACTGAATACAAGGGAGAGTACTGGGCAGACCATCCCACCATCAAGCTCTTCTGGGCAGTGTTCCACAACCTTCCTTTAGAGAAGAAAAAAGAGTTTCTCTGTAAGTGTTTCTTTACCGATGTCGGATGCCAGTGGAAGGAGCGTGAAAGTGAAGCTGCAATCATGAAATGGATGTCGTTTGTCTCCTCAGTGTTCCTCACAGGAAGTGATCGCATACCCATCTTGGGCATGAAAAGCCTTAAACTAGTGATCCAGCCGACCAGCGGGGGAGAACATTATTTGCCCGTCGCCCACACGTGCTTCAACTTGTTGGACCTGCCCAAATACACCAATGCAGAAACACTGCGTGAGAAGCTTCTTCAAGCTATAGATCATAATCAAGGCTTTAATCTTGCATGAGGCCACTTTGAAAGGTCCAAATGATCATGTCCAAAATGACAATGGCCACCATGTTCCCGAACGTTTTGCTTTGCAGGTTTTTTTGTAGGAACAGGACAGCGTGAGCACTGCTAGGAAAGAGGCTACAAAGAACAATATAACTTTGCCATGTCAGCATTTTGTGTTACTTGGATTTTTTTTTCCAGCTTTTTACAAAGCCCTAATAGGTATTTTGTTAAGTAAAACATCTACTAGAAGGGGACTTATAGTACATTTGATATTGCAGTTATGTGCATTCAATGTTTGGATATGGCAAGTACAAGGAGGTAGTGTTACAATACATGCAAGATTTTTTTACACAGTACATGCAACCGAGAGCACTACCTTCCTGACAACTGAACTCTAATTCTGCAAGAATACTTTATTGAACATGGACTATAAATTGACCAGATTTAAACAAACGCTTGCTTCCAAGTGTTCTGAACAAAACCTGCTTGTTCCGGTGTAGCTGGGATGATAAAAATCTCACTTTTACAAGAGCGAACACAGTCCGCCCCCTTCTGCATGAAATGTGTGCTATAGAAATGACTAACTTTTGTTTCACGTAAATTCGATTGTGATCATGGATACAGAACCGTACAAAACATTTGCTTGAAGTGCAATGTCTTGGCTTTGAAGATGAAATAAATAAAATGATGCTGGTCATTGTCAGGAAACAGTTGAGTATTTTAATTTATTGATGATATAGTGTGTTGGATTTGGATTAGCAGACACAGTGATGTTAATAATGCTTTTGGTGAAGATTTCAATGAGGCAACTCATGATGGACCAGCTGGTAATGAGACCCACAGGAGGGACAGCGCTGGGCTTTCCCCTCATGAAGCCAGAACCACACGATCGCAGTGTTGTCTTCCTCACCTGGATGAGATTTTATTGGTCAATTTAGATTGCAAGTTTAATACAAATACTTTTTTCCTCCATTTAAATCATCACTTACAGAGGCAGCCCACCAGCCTCTTTTGTCCGATACAAGGCACGATGTGCGGGTCATCTTTGGTTCCTGCGTAGCTCTTAGGTTTCAGCATACTGTAGGGATCCTTTAATGTGCATCGAAGCCTTTTTATTACATGGAGTACAGTCTCAAACAGTACTGTATACTGTGCTGTACTTGCAAAAAGTTAACCCACTTTTCCCAGTTTGAGCGCTTCAAGGGCACGGCGTTCCAGGCCAGTGGCTTGTTCCTCATCTGTGGGTATTCCTTGAAATTGTAGAACAATGCTTTGTATAAGATTAATTCTGCTATGGAAATAAACTTCATAAAAACTGATTGGTGTTCTTGAAATCCACCCTGTCCCTGCTCGACCCATCTGTCCCCTATCGGGATACTGGCATCGAACCAACACACGCCTGCCAAGGGAGGGGGCAGTAAAATCAGAGTGCTTACAGCAAGTTAGTCCGAATGACCTTCGTTACAGTATTTCACTTAGCAGTTTTAAACAGTACTTCGCACTAGAAAATTACCAAAACATGGAAAGTTGATCATTTCACATAACACCAATCGTTGCGCATGCAGGTGGATTTATAGATTTGGGGCAGGCGCATGACCTCCCGAGGCAAAGTGAAACGGACAACGTAGTTTTCACTTGTGCAAATGACCGAGTTTTCAAGAAACGTTAACAGGATTTACGACCAGGTTTCAGGAATGCCCCCATTGTCTTCAAGAGCATGTCCGTTTGAGCGGTGTTGTTGTCGTCACTTACCTTTCATTGTGGCCATGGAGCGCGCTATCCCCGTTCGACTCAACCGAAGAGTTGCTGCGCAAGTTCGGAGAAGCAGTTGACCCGCCATGACTCTTCACGTCCAGGTACAGTCAGCCACAATAAAGTGACAGTGGACAGCTGGGTTCATTTGTCGCAGTGTTTGTTCGACCGATTCTCTGGCCAATGCGAGCACAGCTGACGATTTGACGTATTTTTCGTCCAATGGAAGCCGAGCGGTGTCTAACATCAACCAATTAAATCAGTACCCAAAACGATGTAAAAAAGGTTGTAGTTACCATATTTTACCACGGGGAGACAGTATAGGCCATGAAAGCAGATTTTGGTGAATAAATAAATGCACAAAAACTACGTTTCTTAAAGTAAATATACTGTGCCATGGCGTGTGTTTTTGTTTTTTTTGGGTGGTAGTGAATAGAGACGAAGTATAAAAAGACTGTGTCTCGCTGTATTGCTCAGGCTGCACTGCAGCGCCTATTCACAGGTGCGAACCCGCTACTGAGCGGTATGGGGGTTTTGACCTGCTCCGTTTCCGACCTGGGCCGGTGCACCCCTCCTCAGACGACCTGGTGGTCCCGAGCTCCCCCGGGAGCACCATATCGATACCGAACTTAGCGCGGACACCCGCTCGACATAGTCCACTGCAGCTCAGAACCCCCGAGCTCACACGATCCGCCAGCCTCAGCCTCCCGGTAGCTTGGATTACAGGTACGCGCCACGTACCCGGCGAAAAACTGCAGCACCTGTAGTGCTTTTGACGAGCACGCATGTGACGTCACCAAATGGTTTGGCGACCGAATTTTGTTATTGTTTTCAATGTATTTACATTTCGAAATAGTTGCTTGTTTTCTACTAAACCGTTGGTTGCCCTACCAAGCACTGAGGTTGAAAAATATAATACGTGCGGTGTTGAGCGACTTTTTGGTAAAAAGCATACGAAGTGTAAAAGACTGCGTCCCGCTGTATTGCTCAGGCTGCACTGCAGCGCCTATTCACAGGTGCGAACCCGCTACTGAGCGGTACGGGGAATTTGACCTGCTCCGTTTCCGACCTGGGCCGGTGCACCCCTCCTCAGACGACCTGGTGGTCCCGAGCTCCCCCGGGAGCACCATATCGATACCGAATTTAGCGCGGACACCCGCTCGACATAGTCCACTGCAGCTCAGAACCCCCGAGCTCACACGATCCGCCAGCCTCAGCCTCCCGGTAGCTTGGATTACAGGTACGCGCCACGTACCCGGCGAGAAACTGAGGGGCAAGTAGTGCTCTTGACTTGAATGTTTGTGACGTCAACACGGTCTGCTGTCGGCCCAATCATTTCACTTGCAGTACAATGCAGTTCTTTTTTTTTAAACCTTCAACTTTTTGACTCGTATTTATCCTTTCTATACACTCTAAGCATATCGCTTCATGCTTACATTACACTAGGTCAAAACTACAAACAATAATACATTTTCAATTTTCCTCAAGTAACCAATAATCCGGTTTTTAATTTCAAAAATATATATTCAAAACAAATTCTTCAGGTCGCTCTCTTTGTTTCCAGTTGTAATCTATTCAAGGCCCTGAGGAAAAAATAAATTAATATCCACAAGCAATTTTTATGTCATTCTGGGAAGGGGGCAGAAAAAGTAGGGAATCTGTGCAGTGAGAATTAGTTAACAGACAGTAATTAACACCCAGAATAGGACATATTTTAATTACCGCTTCTCTTGACAATGCTGTCGGTCAAGTATGCATCCATTCATTTTCTATACCATCCATCCTTCCATGATCCGAACGGCTTCACTCGTTCTAATTTGTGTGTTAAAATAGATGAGTTGGAGCCTATTCTAGCTGACTTTGGCAAGACATACTGGATTGGTCAATTGCAAGGCACATATAAATAAAGGAGCATTTGTATATTGTATTTACATGATAGGTAAAATATAAACACTTCAAATGAACAGTTTCATTTGATATTATTGTGTCTTTTATGGAGCTAAAAGAATGTTCATCCATTTCGCTCAATAATGTCGTGAATGTCAAATTTTGGATATATGAACACAAAACCACAGATACTAACATCCATATGATTTGGTTAGCGTCCAAATTTAACCAATCTACCTTACAGACGGAATGACATCACAGCTTGACCATGTCCACAAACAATGTTACTACAAGTAACAGGGTATAATGTGCTGGACTGTATTCAAATGTCATAATTACGGAACTTCTGCAGCAAACAAGATGGTGAGTCAGCAGTCCAGCGGAAACGACGATGCCAGTAATCGCCTAGATCATGAGAGCAAAAAGTTAGTTTTATAAAAATTAAAACTGCTCCTTCAACACATACTCCCAAAAAGCTAGGGATATTGGGCTTTTGGGTGAAATTTCAGGATGAACTTATATCCTAATGTCCACTATCAACTGAAATTGACCTTCTCTAAGCTTTTGAATAACACATCCAACTGTTTAATGTTTTCGTGCATTTAGCACAACCGGCTCTTCTCTAGCCGAAAGATATTAGGTTCATCTGGAAAACTTCACCGAGAAGCCAAATATCTTTATCTGATCACCTGGTTTGGAGGGCACATTTAACAAAAAAAAAAAAGGAATGGAACTAAATGACTTCAAAATAGTATGGGACTTTTATCATTATACACATGATATGAATATGATTGAATGAAAAGGAATTACTTGAAGATTGCATGGATTCACTTGAGACAATCCCCGGTGCTTCCTGCTGACAATAAAGGTCCTCTGGATTGGATGTGATTGGTGTTTCTGCCTTTGCGGCCTCCAGCATCGGCTCCTTCTTATTTCTCACAGCCCAATGCATTGACTGCAAAGAGTTTTCAGTCCGATCATGATATCGGTTTCCATCGCAAGCACACGAAAGTAAAACATCACGCACCGTTTTTACAGAGTCGTTTAAGGCTTGCCAGTCATGGAATGGGATAGCAACGCCACTTCTCCTCCATAGATCATAGTTTTTTCTTTTCGTGTCATTGCTTAACACCTCTTTGGCTTCCTGTAGTTTTTGAAACTCTGCCACTGCCATAAAGAAAAGAAAGAAATCCTGGTATAATTGAGCCAATTTTTAAAACATTAACAAATACACTCAACAAAAATATTATCAACTTTAAACACCTTTGTAATGAATAGATTGATTTGACTTTTAAAAAACATGCCATAGCCGTTCAACAAATGTACCTGCTTTGGGGTTGCCTTGATGCTTGTCTGGGTGGCATGCCAAGGCTCTGATCTTGTATTCATTGAGAATCTGTTCAGTCTGAAAATAAATAAACGCTTTAATGAACCACAGCTAGCTGGAATTAGCACCACAACTTTCGACATCTGCCAACAGTCAAGCATGCTCAATGCCACACAAAGACAATATGGATTATGTTTTCCCAGATCTGTT